CAGCATCAGAATTGTTAGCATCAGAATTGTCAACATCAGGATTTTCAGCATCAGAAATTTCACCACAATGACTTTCAACATCAGAAATTTCAGCATCAAAGATTTCACCATGATGATTTTTATCATCAAAATTTTCATCATCAGTTTCGACTAGTACCTGATGAAGGAATTCTATAACACGTGAACATTCCTTTCGCCGTTCACCTGGATGGTTCAGCCACCGATTAAAACTCGTAGATTGCGGCGAACCAATGAGTACAGCAAATTCACTTTGACTGACATTAGTGATATCGAGGAGACGTACGACAATAGCCCGTGCTTGATCGTCCTCGTTAGGACCATTAACTACGCCAAAACTGGGTTCACCTTCTTCTCGAATTTGAACAATAGCATCCCGTATGCGTATGCTTGTTTGCAGTATATGTAAGAATGCATCTACTTCAGCCATAATAATGAAACTTAATCTGAAACGAAAAGAAACATTAGTCACACATGAATTAACAATACATAATGAAAAAAATACTTGGGGCAGACATGACTCAAGCTTCCGCCAACATTTTTTCTCTTGTGTTCTGTACCAGATATTCCAAACCATTGCTTATCTATCTTGAAGAACGAAAAAAACAAAAAAATACAGTGCTACTAGCGATGGCACACAACATGGAACGACGAGAAGAGATAAGACACAATGAAATGAACCACATATGACATTCGTGACTTAGGAGTTCCAACAGTATTTTCAGCCGATACTTGACTCATATTTTTTATTTATACATATCGCGAACGTTAAATTCCATTATATTTTAACAAAATCACACATTTACAAAATACGAAATATTCAAAGATCTTACCTAAAAAAACAAGCAGGACAAACCTGATTTTATTCTATTTTCATAAGATAAAAAATTAATTAAAGCGAGACGACAACAATCATATTTTTCACAAAAAAAATCAGTCAAAGCCGGTTTCCTTACAAAAATCCATTTTATTAAATTTTCTGTCGTTATCAATACAATTTCTAATCGCCTGCAAACTATCATATTCGATTACTATCGAACACTTCCCAAAATCGACTCAAAACCTAACTGAAATCAAATAAAATTCATCACCACTTATCATACTTCTAAAACTCATTTTAAACATCTATCATTTATATAAATATGATGAACCAAGCATTTAATCTAACGTTACGAAAAGAAAGAATGCAGATTTTTTTATTTCATCGATACGTAATATAGATGAGTATGAAGACTAACTCGCTTATCATACAGTCAGTAGAAAAAAAGAAAGAGAGGTTACTTTTCATAAAAATAATGATATATGAAAATAAAAGAATCAACGAACTTACTGGTAAAGAGTGAAAAAGAAAGAATGCAGATTTTTTATTTCATCGACATGTAATATAGATGCGTATTAAGACTAATCAACTAGCCATATAGTCAGTAGAAGAAAAAAAAGAAAACGTTGCTTCTCATACGTATAAACATATACATATATAAATATAAGAACGATCAAACTTACTGGTAAAGAACGAAAATAAAGAATGAAGATTCTTTTTTTCATCGATGCATCATATAAATGAGTGTAAAGACTAACTAGCTTACTGGTCAAAACGCGTAACGCGTCAACTATGTTAATGTGAGTTTGAAGGCATCATTTCGGAAACTTTTTATCGCTATGGTGTGCAGGACATTCAAGGGTATACAGAGATATTTTGCTTTGTTGATAAGTGCTTCCAAGGACATTTGGAAATTGATAGCAGGGAGATGAGTCATACATGATGAAAATTCCTCTATTTAAAGTATTAGTTCCTCTAACACCTATGGCGAGAGAGCTTGATATATGCAAAGTTGATGAAGACTGTGATGCCAGATCCATCTTTTCGGATAATAGCTGGTTCCTGATATTTTATACATTTTGACAGCAAGCTGAAGTAAAACTAGGATAGTTATAACGTCATCGCATAACGAAAAGTAAGTATTGTTTTTTTCGCTGATTTATCTCAACTATTTTTCACATAAAACACATACATAAACCCAGATTTTTATGAGCTATCTAATGCATATATTTTTATTTGAGAAAGATTCTGTTTTATAATTGTTTTACGTAATGCGATTGTGAGGATTTTATTCTGATCAGGGAAATAAACAATGAGAGAGAACACGCACTCCAAAGCAAAAGCAAAGCTTTTATATACTCACATGTATATAACTCAAGAATCCTGATCATACGGGTGTGACTCAGGAATCTCAATCATATACACATAAGTCAGTAATTCCTTGACTCATAAGATATTATGGCTAGTGCCGTGACAGCGATGACGTTTTTTATCGTTTCCTGCATTTTTGTATATCTACAAAAACCGTTTTCAGATGCTGATTTCTTATTCAAAAACCACTATGAGCTATGATTAATATATGTATGTATTGATTACTAAGAAGTTGTCATAAAAACATAGATGACTGGTCAAATAATTTGGTTGAATTCAATTAGAATTCAATTACCGATGAAAATCGTTTATCGTGTTCTATAATATATACGTAAGGCCGGACAAACTCAAAATTCCAGTAGGCATATTTTCTCAATGTTTTATATTCGATTCGATAGAACTCATAAAACTGTGTAAGAAAATGTACTTAAAAAAAGTTTTCATTCTTTTATATAGATCAAAAAAACTTATAATAATGAGATCGTCTACACAGAACGATCTCATTAATAAAGAAATCTTAGTATATTAAGCTTTTTTATGGATATAAAAGAATGAAAATTTTTTATAGTACATTTTCTTAGACACTTTTACGAACTCTATCTAATCATATATAAATTATTGAGAAAAAAATGTTTAGTATAATTTTAAGTTTTCTCTACCTTATACAGACATTGCTATACATACTAGTCAAGCGAGTTCACTTTTTTTCAACAATTCTTTTGTATTAGAAAAATCAATAAACACAGCATTTGACATGTGCATACATTAAACTTTAGAATAAAATTAATACCTTGTCTTTACAAACGTGTACATAAGACAAAATGAAGCATAGAGAAAAACCTATCACAAAAGTCATCGTCATCGCGTTACGTCAATGAAACTGATCATTATTCAGAATAAAAAGCCTATTCAGAAATTTGTTTTATCCCTTAGATACCTCAAACTGTCAGCTACTAACCGTCTATGGAACGCTTCTTTTAATGTAGTATACATTCGCAGAAAAATAAAGAATAACCATATCACTCTCAACTTTTTGTCTTTAATTCATCATCGCGTTTCGTCGTATGTTTTTACTGTAATTTTCAGACGGCTCGTTCAAATGACATAATATTTTCATAGATTGTGGGGACGACAGAGGCACATCTTCCACCGAAACCATGAGCCTTCTACACAATCTAGTTGTTGAAAGAAAGTTAATAAAACTATAGACAAAACGTCATCGCGTTACGCTCGCAGAAACCGGTATTCGTTCATTAGAACCATTGAGTTTACCTTTTGCGATTGGACAAAGTGGTTAAATGAGACCTGACGTCTGTTTTTCAAGTCCGGTCATGAAAAAAGAATTTTATTGTATAATAGTTCTTCTGTTCCTTCTTTTGGTTGATCCATATAATATTACTCGCCACTACTACTACTAGCCACGAATACAAAGCAGTACAGTAAGGAGAAAAACAAAATTGAACTATAGATGCTTAATATAGTACATCATTAGAGATGTCACATTTTACGATAGTCTGTCGCTTCAACATTCTACTTGTTTCATATTTATCTTTCGGCCAACAGATTTTTCTATTTTCGTATAATGTATGTACTTTTGAACTTGTTTTAACGAAATAGGAGATCTTTGTAATTTCATTTCTATTATGAATCTGTATAAAACTGCAAAAATACCGAAAGAGAATATATATACTTAAATTTATTTCGCATAAGTAAATAAATGAACGAATGATAATTATAATAGAAATACATTTAACAAATTCGTTTGATAATTTGCGTCAAATAAAATTATTAAGCCGATCTATTTATGTAAGTAGATGTAGATTGAGCGACTTTTTTTTCTGACGATATTGTCATTGACAGTAAGTACGTCATCTATAGATATGTCAGCTTAGCATTAATATTCAAAATAAAATGTAATACTTTTTGCGTATATATTAAGTTACTGTTTATATAATATTAATACATATAATGTTTAAATTGATTTTTTCGTCATATATTAGTGTGATTTTAAATATATGTTTATAATCAAATTAAAAGAAATATACAGAGTGATAATATCAAAATATTTTTATTTTTTACATATATAATTATTCAAGTTCAAGGTTATATATATAATTTTTTTTCTATTTTAATCAACATAAAAAGAATTCCATTAAACCAAATATAGAACGAGACTTAGGTACCTGGAAAAGCTCGTTTGATCATCAAAGGTGTTATTATTATACCCATGTTCACTTAATATTAATGAACGTATATTGAATTTACCTAGACAATAATGTCAAACCGATAACGTTATATAAAAATAGATTTTAAATATCTATTCAAGATTTTGTACATACTAATTATCAGTACTCTTTTATAATAGTTCTTCATATTTTTTCGATAGACTCATATTCTTCTACATAAAAATAGGTAACTTTTTTGTCTTGCATCGAAGCAATCAAGCATAAAACATGTGAGTTTTTTGAATGTCAGAATATTGTATGTATTAGAATAGTTACAATATGGTTTTATTTCAAATTTCTGAAAATGTATTTTTGATATTTAATCGACGTTGTTTTATTGTATGTTTTATTACAATGATAGCGATAATTATAATCAATCAAATTATCAATTCTTCCTATGAAATAATACCGAAACATTGTGATGCAATACGTATTCAAGAATATTATATGAATAACCTCAGGTACTATATACAAAAATAGAAATTCTAAATAAAGTAATATTTACTTTCATTTAAATGTGCATGAAAAATAAATTTACCATACTTCCAAGCTGTATTTATTTTATTAATATATTTTTAAATAACTAAAGACATCTGTCAAGTTCATAGAATATTATCTGAAATATATTTATATGTAAAAGGTTTTTTCTTTTTATGGATCTTCTATTATAATTAGCTGATTGTAATGATGAAAGAATTGAAAGAAGCATTATGACTTATTCGTGTTAATATAATTTTTTTTATAATACTAATTTATTTCTACGTAATGTAATCACAACAGTGTGCTCTTTAGCCTTTTTTAAAAATAGATTGAAATCTTTTTTGTTATCAAACATGCATTTACGGATGAGATTGAAAAAATATCCTTGATATATACTTCTAACTAATTGCTTTCACAGTAGTTACAAAAATCTTTTCTATACATCATGATTCCATATTATAAAATATTTTTTGTTATCTAAAAGAAACCTGGAAATTAAATCCCATTCACATTTATAAAGCTTCTTTCTATATATCCTGGATATGTCTGGATCTATAAATATATAAAATAAATATTTAATAAAAACAGAAAAACAAAAAATCTATGTAATATAAGATCATACACTAATTGTAAATATTGATTTTAATATTTAATAAATATGTTCTATATAGTGCATATCATATATTGCAAACAAAACGTGTTCATCCAGAAATATTTGAATATAAAATAGTAAACAATCGTGCCTGTGAAAACAATAATTCTACAATTGATCTATTAATATTTATTATTTCAAATACAAGATCATATGAACGACGTAATGCAATTCGACGAACATATGGTAATTTGAATAATATATTCAAATATAGTGACAATGCATTAGCAAGATTAGAAGTTCGAATACTATTTATGATTAATCTTGATGAAAATCGAATGAAAACTGTTCTATATGAACAAGAAATTTTTAATGATATTGTTCAAGTAAATTTAACAGTTTCTATTTGAAAAAAGAAATTTTTTTTTGCTATTTTAGGTCTTAATACCTGAATATGATTCGATGAATATCTATCGAGATTTATCTATATTAGACTGGTCATCGAAATATTGTTCACAAGCAAGATTCATATTTAAAATGAATGATTCAGTATTTTTAAATCCATTTTTACTTTTAAAATTTATTAATGAAAATCCAAATGATCGAGTTAATCTTGAATTAAAAGACTCAATTAATATTTCAGATAGTTGTGCACATATTGATGCACGTCTTCCATTACTATCTGGATTTATTCATTCAAATGAAAAAGTTCTAAGACAAAAACTATCGACTAATCAACAATCAGAAAATTTTCTTGTCAATAAAGATGAATATCCATGTGATACTTATCCAAATTATTTAAATGATAATGCTTATTTGATATCAAATGATGCACGAGATTTAATATTATGTACATTTTATCGACAATCAAAGATATTATTTCCAATATCAAATATATACATCACTGGTATATTACCTGAATATTTACATATTGAACGTCATTCTTTAATAAATTATAAAATAAATTTTGATTCGGAAATATCATGTGAAGAATTTTTTATCGAAACAAATCCTTTACAAGCATTTGCTTGTGTTACAAATATTGATTTATCAAAAAATATTTTTGAATATTATTCGATTTATTGGCAATCTATAATTAATTCTCAAATAGAAAATAATGAAAAGTAGACGGAAATAAAATGATGTTGATGAAGACCTGGACGAATCTATCAATATTTTTTTTATTCTATTCTATTATTCTATGTGTTTTCTTTTGTTTTCTCGAACAAAAATATTCTAACTTGCTTTGACGCTCTACGTTGTATTTTATCGTCTAATTAGAATAAGAGATGTAAAAAGAAAGCAAGCACGAACGAACGTTTTTTCTCTCTAACTGCAAATAAGACTAAAAGGAAAAAGAAAAAGAAAACACAATGTAGGAATGACTACTCACTCATCTATATACATCCTGGCGGAGTTTGATTATACTTTGCATACAGATTGTGTCTTTCACTAGGTTAGGAGTAGCTTTTCTGTCGTATAAAAAAAGCGATAAAACATTAGGAAAGAAAATTTTTCTTTCGCTTAGTGTAAGCCTTGATAAGAACGAGAAAAGTGACACTATGTTGCCTATAGTCTAAGGAACAACTATGTTCATACGTATATGATTATCTTTCACTTTAATAATAATAAAAAAAAGTGATGGATTATTCTTTCCTCGTCTTCTCTCATATGCAGACTTTGTCCCCCCAATAATATATACAATCCATCATAACCCATATGTTATAATCTCATTTAAACATTTTCTAGATGATTCCTAACATGTATTTAAGTATAACTGGTTTCTTATTTCTAACTATAAGTATTATTGTTCAATCAGTACCTGTGAAACCCATTGACAAACGTATGATATTCTTTGTTTTTATGATAATAATTATAAAAATTTTTTTTATCATGTTTAGTCATTCCATCGTCTGAAAAGGCTCCTTCTGAGTCTATCGATCCGTTAAAATCATCAACGAGTACAATTACACCTGCAAAAAAGCACGATATTAACAATATTAAGAAAAAACGTTATGCTGAAGATTATAATCAATTCGATGAATTCATGGATGATGATAGTGATGATGATGACGATGAAGATGATATCAAAATTGAACATAAATTGCATGCAAAAATAAAAGAAACACCTGCACAAATTCATGATAATGCCGACAGTAAGTTTGCCAGTAGACTAGATTTATTTAGTAACTGTCAAAGTTCTTTTTTTTATAATTACAATAATAAGTTAAATGATGATTATATAATTTGTTTTGTTAACTTTATTTTTAGAACCAGTTGATACTGACGATTCAAAAATATTTTCTGATATTCAAATGAATCCAAATGAATTAACAAATTTTGCACGTAAACGTCGTAATATTAATTTAAATAGTGAATCTATTCAAAGACGTAAACGAGCTTTATCACCATATGATTTATATAATACTGATCCGGTACGTGATAAAATATTGAATTGATAGATTATTCTCATATTTATCATTTTAGTTATATGATTCATATATCGAACGACAACAATTTATTCGTCCGTCACGAAAATTCGAGTAAGAATTTATTTTATCGATGAATCTTTAATAAATTAGTTTTATTTATTAATAGATCACTTTATTGGAACCAACCGTCTTTCTATGAACGAAGTATTCGTTCAGCATTATATGAACAACCGGAATGGAATAGAATCTATACAGAAGATCCATATGAAAACGATTATAATGATGAAAATCAAGGTGAATAATTTTATTTATTTCCTAGCCTCTATTTTTATTTCATTTTTTCATTTATTAGATTTATCCTTCTATGATGATGACAATGATAGTGATGAAGAATATGAACCTTATCTTAATTTATTAGAGTCAGCCAGTATTCCATTCGATAATTTACAATTACAACAAAAATATAATACAGACAATTTATTAAACAATGACGATGATGATGATGAGGATGAAGGACTCTTCCCTATAAGATACGATCCTTTTAAATAATCTATACAACTGATTGTTTTCAAGACAATCGGATAGATAAAAAAACAAAAAAAAAAATTATATATATACATTTGTCTATGTTGTGATTATAAAATATACATAAATATTATTTTTTTTTCTTTCTGTTGTGTATCTATTTATCATTTTTCACATTCTTTCATCATGCGTACTGTATTGATGTCAATCGTTATTCATGCACATGCAACATACTCACCTGAGACGAACGGTTAAGACTCATTTCTTTCTGCGTAATATTTATGTTTTACTTAGTCGTTTATTTTTCTTTTCGGAAATAAAATATTCGTTATTAAAAAAATAATGGCTGCATCTGATGAGTTTCTATGTGTAACTTGTCAAACAAGTTATGGGTTTAATTCTATTGAACAACGTGGACTTATTATTCTGATTATTCTTGTACTTATTGTACTTGTAGTATGTTATGCAAGTGTATTATGGTTCGGGATTCGTACACGATTTCAACCAACGATAGAATCGAATGTTATGACTAATAATCTTGTACATAACAACCGAGCATATTTTTATGATTATGATGATGATGAATTTATACAACCTGTAAACAATACAAATAGGTCACCACCATCACCACCGACAACAACAACAACAACAGAACATCTTCTTATTGATATAGATAATTAACCATCATAATGTTGATTTATATTTCAAATTTTGTTAAATAAAATCTGTTTATGAAGTTTAGATTTATCTAAGATTAAAATTGAAGAATTTTCTTTTATTTAAAGGCCAATCTTAATAATTAAAAATCCCACGCATGCAGGTGCAATGGCGAAGTACATTGATTTATTCGGAAAAAGAATGTCAGAAATGATACTAATATACTTTAAACATATATATATATATATATCATAATTTGTCAATATGACCTAACAATTATTCATATAGAATCACTACAAAGACTAGATTAAATGAATTTTTATTATATTATTCATGGGTAAATAATCATATGAAAAATATGGTGATCCATTTATTTCTATTAAAGTTATTATTTAATCAAACACTTTATTTTATGTAAGATTATATTAATAGTATTACATCTAATAGATTAAAAAATTTATGAATACAACAAACACGCACAATAATTCAATAGATATGATATGAGAAATTTCGAACTATTTATCTGTAAGTCTTTTCATTTATTTGAAATCTGAACTATCCGTAGATAAAAAAATAAAAAACAATTAAGATATGTTATATTAGCTAGCTCCAGTACCAATATAATCAACAATAGCAGAACGTAAAAAGTGCAATCGTTGTTCTTCATCATGTCTTAAACGTGAAATTTCTTGATCACGATGATTTAATGTTGTTTGTAACTCAGTTACACGACTTTCAAGCTCACGAATTGTATGTCGATCAGTAAAACGTTGATCTAAACATTAAATATTGTTGTTTTTACTTCAAATTTTTTTGTTCGATTACCTTTCAAATCATTTTCTAATTGTTTAATACGATCTTTGAATTCATCAGTCATATCAATATCTTTTTGATATGAACGTAATTTTTTTTCATAGTCTGTTTTAGTTTTTTCACGAATTTCAAGAATTTCATTATCTTTACTTAACATTGTCTAATCAAATAAGATATATAAAATCAATTTAAAACAAAAAACAAATTTTACCGATTGTATCGAATCAACTTGTCGTTTAAATGTTTCAATTTCAACTGATTGAAAATTAATCTTTTGTTGAAGTTCTCGATTTGCAATTAATTGTTGATTATAACGAGACTAAGATAAACAAAGGTATGGTTAGATATACATAGAGCTCAGATTTAAAACTAGAAGGGTATACGAAAGATGCTGATGGGAATTTGGACTAGACATGACCCAAACCTAGAGTTAAACTCCAAAACGGTTTGAATCTGAGTTTGGGTCATGTCTAGACACTAAATGAACCCTTTCAACTTTATCCTCATCCGCATTCCTTAGTAATATTCAAAAGAAAAGATAAATTACTTCAAGTTCGTCTTTGGAATTAGTTAATGCCCGTAAACGATCTTCAATTTCTTGTTGTTTTTTTTCTTCTTCATTTTTAATTCGAATTTTTTCTTGTTGAAGTCTTTCATCATGTGTTAATTTTTGTGTTGATATTGTTGATTTAAGTGTATTGATTTCCTTAAATTTATAAAAGAAAGTTTGTCGTTTTTTTACAAAACAAAGAATTAATATTTATACTCGTTCGAGTGATGTACGAATATTTTCAAGTTTACTCATTTGTTCTTTAAATGTTTGTTCAGTTGATATATGAGCTTCTTTTAAACGTTGTACATCACGATTTAAAATTAATTCATTATCTTTTAAATCTTCTTTATGTTTTATTTTTAAACGTTCGTTTTCATCATTTATTGTAGTTAATTTTATTTGATGATTACGATCATTGATAGTTATCTAAATAAAAAAATTTTTTTATAAAAAGTTGAAAAAATAACAGGACATACAGTTTCTTGAAGTTCACGAATAGTTGTTTGAAGATTATCATTTTTTCGTTCAAGATCATGAAGTTTCTCATTTAAACGACGTTGATTTTCAATATTTTCATTTAAATTTCGTTGAAGTTTTTCTTGAATATCAATTAATTCCTAAATAATATTATTTTTTTATTAAAAGTTATTTTTTCTAATTCAGAATTACATCTTTTTCATGTTTACATTCTCGTCGAATTTTTTGTATTAATTCTTCTTTATCAATTTCCATTCGTTTCATATCATTCTGTACATCATCATATTGTCGTTTACTTTCAATTAAATCATTTTCAAGTGATGTATTTCGAGTTGATACAGCTAAAAATGCTAATTTTCTTTCATCTAATGCTTCTTGTAATTTATTTAATTTTTCAGTTAATGTCCTAACAAAAATAAAGTAAATATACAAACTATTGATAAAGGATTGTGTTTTACTTATTTGCTTTAAGCATTGCTTGTTCTTGTATTGACATACGTGTTAATGTTGTTGTTATTTCACGATCTTTTTCTGTATGAACATGTTGTAATTGTCGAGAAAGTACAGCCATATTTTGTGAATGACCAAAATGCATTTGACGTTGTTCATTATTTTTTGATAATGCATTCGCTATTTGAAAAAAACAAGCATATTTTTTCTTATATATGACTGATAAAATAAAACATACCAATACTCTGCATAATATCATCAGGTATATTATTACCAACTAATTGTAAATCGTCTATTGTTGTATTTGTTTGACAAAGTAATAAGAGAGCTCGACCACCAATTAATCCAACATTATTCCAACGAAGATCTATTGATAGATTTTGTTTTCTTAATTATATATTTTGTTTGATTACATACCTAATGCACGTAATGTTATATTTCGTTTTAAAGCTGTTGCTAATTCTGACCCACCAACATGATTTATATCATTATTACGTAAATCAAGTTCAATTAAAGCTTTATTATCAGCAAGTGCATCACAAAAAATACTAAATGCCGGAGAATTCATTGTACCTAATTGATTCCATTCAAGTCGTAAACTAAAATAAAAATTCTTGTTTTTCATAACCAATAGAATTACTTTACTTACTTTCTAAGTGTTTGATTTCTTCTCAATACTTTCGCTAATGCTTCAGTTCCAGCTCCTTGAATACCATTTCCCTTTTGTTATAAAATAAATGTCTATGAACCATTATGTAATGATTATCTACCTTTAATTCTAATGTTTTGCATGTTGTATTAGTTACAAGTCCATGAAGAAGGGCTTGTAAAGCTTATTAAAATGAAGAAAAGAATAATAATTTCAATTTTAATCCTATGTTTACCATCACTTGATAAATTACAATCATTAAGATGAATACTTGTAAATATAAAATCATGTGTAAGAATTTTTCCTAATACTGAACATTGTGATTCAGGAATATTGAATGATGATAAATTTAAACTTTTTGTTTTATTATCTTCACCAGAAACTCTTTAAAGAATTGAAGAAAATAACTATATAGTTTTAGTTTATATAAAAAATTCTTTTTCTACTTTTGAATTTCGCCTAAAAGTAATTCATTAGGTTCAACATGATAAGTTTTACAATATTCTTGATAGAGCTTTTTAAACTGATCCATATTATAATTCTTCTAAGCTAAAAATGAGAAAGTATTATCATTCAGCCATATTGAAATTCAATTCTTATAAGTATCAATGCAACCATTTACTAAACTTCATCAAATTATTTTTTCATAGATATTATGATTTTATTTGAATAAAAAAAGTATTCAAATTTCATTTATAATTATAAAAACATATATAAATTAGACTTGAGATAGATGTCAGTATACGAAATCATCGTTTGAAAATAACGGAAAATTGGAATAGATGAATTTTATTATATGTTTTGCTTAATTTCAATACAAAAGTTTTGATTTGAAGAAACGCTGTTCGATATTAAAATCAAGATTATGTTGATTGTTAACTAAAACAAGTTTTTTACAATAAATTCAGATGTCTATATCATTATTAAAAATTCACTTCATCACAGTGCCGAAAGTCTCCAGTTTCTCAATGCAATTTACAGCACAACATGTCGCTAATCTGGTGAAAGTGCCACTACGAAGATCTTTTAAAAATATCGTTTTAAGTCACAATCTGTAAATATTTAACTAATCTGATTATATTCATAAATTTACCAGTGAAAATTTTTGCAACTATCACGCTTTGATTACAGAACAAGTTTAAGCGAGACTGAATCTCTTTGAAAATGATTCCTGACTACGTCATATCACAAAAAGTATACAGAAAAATTATGAAAGTTAGTTGTTTGAATCACGTCTAGTCTATAAAGCACAAAAATAATAAATCATCACATAGCAACTAATACGTCTATTGTATCATTAAATAATCGCTATAGCAACTTATAAACGGATAAGAAAAAGAGAATTTTAGCTAGTACATCTCACCTTATCTCTTGTTTTTCTTCTCTGGATTATTCCATGTCTTCAAACTTCATGACACTTATTTATTCATTCTCTTCTCTCCTCTCATTTTTTGTTGATATAAAAAGGAAAGAAAAACGCAGAAAGAAATCATCATAGTAGGAAAAAAAGAATCAAGCAACATCTAAAAAAATTTTATCGACATCAAGGTCAATTCAAAATGCCGGTTAGTATACAATTGAAAACTTTAATTTAGAAAGAAAGTTTTTCGAATTTATTCTTTTCAGCGAGGACATGGAAAATTATCAAAAACTCAAATGAAAGGTAAAATAAATTAAATTTATTATCTCTATTATTGTTTTTTTTCCTATTAGAATTACGTGATGCATTCGATATGTTTGATCGTGATCAGAGTGGATCTATCTCTTCATCGGAACTTAAACAACTTTTAATCGCATTGAATTTTAAACCAACAGAAAATTTACTTCGAAAGGTGATGAGAGAAATGGATGCTGATGGTATGTAGTTTCCATATAGGAAAAACGAACAGAAAGTATTTTACTTCATATGTTCTAGGTAATGGTACTAGTAAGTGTCTTTTTTTCTTCTTAATAAATATTTTATTAAAATAGAGATCTTTTTTATACAGTTGAATTTGATGAATTTGTTAAAGTTATGGGAAGTGTTTATGCACGAAAATTAACAGATGATGAAATGCAACGAGCATTTAAATGTTTTGATAAAGATGATTCTGGTGAATAAAAAACATTTTCTTCTTTTTTTCTAAAGATTTATTATTTGATTACATAGGTTTTATAACAATTGAAGAACTTCGAGATGTTTTACGTCAGTTGAATCAAAATACTAGTGAAAAACATTTGAAAGATATGGTAAATCAACTTGATGAAGATCATGATGGAAAAATTAGTTATGATGAATTTGTACATATGTTACAAGGAATGTCATAGAAATATGAATGAAAAACTTTATGAATTTTTGTAGTTTTGTATTGTTCTTTTTTTGTCAATATACATGCTTATTAATCGTCATTTGAAATAAAAATAAAAACTTATCTCATTAAATTACAATATCGTACAATATAAAAGCCGTTCCGTTATATAAGAACAATTCAATATCTAACTATAATCTCTCATTACGAGCCCTGAATATAATTTCATCTTCTGCAAATTACTAAACACTTAAGTTTTAAATATGATGTAGATTGAGTAAAATTACAAAATCTTACCATACTAATTACAGTTATGCATCTGAGAGGTCAATATTAAGTTTGGTAACTACCAATTTCTAATCAATACATTCCATTCATGACTCAAAATAAGGTTTCGAGATAATTATGCATCAACAAACATTGACGAATATAAAAATAACAAACTATTTTCGTTTAATTTTTCTTTTCTATATGTTTGCATTTACAAAATGTTATTTGAGTACATATACACACCCTCGAATTCATGAATCACTGTTATAGTTACCAGTTAAAATAATAATCTAGTCATTTTGTTTTTAAAGATATTGTAAGTCTCCCTTTTTCGCGGAAAATTTGTAGATATTAAACGTTGTCGTAGACATGAGCTCCAAAGAAAAATAATTATTCAACTCTTTGTATTGGATTCTAATAATAGATTTTATTTTTTATCATTTCACTTGTCAAGTTCAGGCATATATAATGCAATGTTATAAAGTAATAATTGCTTGATAAAAAATAATGCCGATAGCTAATTTATTACTACGTTAGAGTTCATTACTTACGATAAATCTTTTTTGTCAGAAAAAAATGAACTAATACGATAACTATTATTTTTCCTATTTGCTTGATTGCATTAAATCGATTGCAAAGAAATTTAATAAAAGCAATGACTATCACATGTGACTTCTATTTCTTTGCAGCGAATTCCCATAATTACGATAGTTCAAAAGTTGAATCCAGTTATGATTTTAACTAGTCCTCTCAAAAAATTATTAACAGACTTTTACTTCTGGTAGTAGGCTAGTGTATTGAATTCAGAATTTTATTAGTGATATTCAAGCACTATTTCTCTTTCAATTTGACAATAAAAATTTTTAAATTAAAATCAAAAAAATACTATTCTATGTCAAAAACGACATCTGTCGACAACTGTCTTCAATGGTTTACTAGTAATAAATCATGGATTTCACCATTCTAGAGTATATAGGATACAATAACAGCTCACTGAAATTTATGCTTACGTGTCTATTTGACTCATTTAGATATGTATTCTAAATTGTTCACTTCTATATATTTCTATAACTTCTTCCTTTATTAACTAATTCTTTCACATAATATTTATATCAATCATGCCAATTCAATTATCAGATTTCCAAAGTAAAATAAACAAAAATGATATAATTTTATTAGAAAAAAAGTTTCTTTTTCTTTTTCCTAATAGAGATCGGTCTCGGTCTTTCAATATTCGGTGGCGGTTTTATATTCCTTGGTATGATCTTCTTCTTCGATAAAGGTTTACTTGCAGTTGGAAATGTAAATTTTATTTTTAAAATGATCTTTTCATGATTATATAATTTACTTTATATATAGATCCTATTTCTGGCTGGTTTAAGTATGATTATTGGTTTTGAACGTACATTTCGTTTCTTCTTTCAACGTTATAAAATCAAGGCTTCTCTATTATTTTTTGGTGGTATCACAGTTGTTCTACTTGGTTGGCCATTGATAGGAATGATTATTGAATTCTATGGATTTTTTCTTCTATTTGGGTATATTACATAATATTTTATTTATTATATCACATCATATTTTCTTCTAGTGGTTTTATTCCTATTGCGATTAATTTTCTTCGACGTTTGCCTATTATTGGTTCACTTTTATTGTTACCTGGCATTCGACAAGTTCGTAGAAAACTTTTTTTTATTAAATAAATAATCTTATTTTCTTCTTTCTCTTTTAGCTTATCGATAAATTATCTGAGAGTAGATCAATAGTATAATAACATTTTTTTTCTTTTCTAATAGTTCAGATGTGTGTCTGAACAATTCAGTTTGTTTTTTTCTTTTTGTTTGTTAAACATACATGTTCTTTCTTTTTCTGTTTGTGTTTGAAATTATTAATGAAAAAAAACGTGAAAACTCAGCAACATTCATGTTCCTTTTCGTTTGTTATTTATCTAATAGGTAATATTGACATTTAAAATCGTTCAATTATTTTGTTTTTAGATGATTTACATAAAAACATATTATTCGACTATTAATGTTTATTAGAATAGAAAAATTATTATGCCTATTCAGTATGGTTTCCAACCGATTTTAAGAAATAGTAAGATTAAAATTATATCTGTTTGAATCTTTGAGTAAAGCATAAGTCAACGAGTATTGGATAGATAGTTTTTTTTCTCCTTAGGGAATAAACAGACTTTTCTCTTTTCCAATTCTTTTTAATAAATCTGATTAATAATACGTAAAAAGAACAAAAATATCAATGATGTCGGAAGTCGGTATGTAATACTCGATTCTTATTTGTCCTTATTTAAATTATAGGATAAGTATTTTTGCTTTGATATACAGTATATAATCAACTTCAGAACGCTACCATAGATGATTTTGACAGTCTGTTATTATATAATCATTCTATTATAATTATTGTGCATCTATGAAACTAAATCTATTCTTTATTTTATCTCAACTAAACTTAATATTGATTGTTCTTCATACTATTTTCTAGCTCGTCTGTCACTAAAACGTACATGTATTATACTCAGATATACAGTGCAACATAATATTCTTCGTAGTCTTTCATCAACGTAAGTTCATTTATTGATATGAATAAAATATCCCTCTCGTTCATTGTAGACCATTCATTGCTTATCGTCATGATCGATTATTCCAGCAAAAAACCATTGATTTATCAAAACGCTCACAAACTAGCTCAACTATACCACCAGCTTCAAATGGTGAAAGTCAACCGATTACATCTAATAGCAATGCACCTGCTATAGACCCATTATCAAATGGAGTAAAAGGTCTATATATAGATATATAAATATCCATACCATTTATTTGTTTCAGTTCCAACACTTACACCCGTAGTATCCGATGTTGATTTAAGTTATACACAAAATAAATTGATTACAGCTGTACGAGCGATGCATGAATATTTATTAAAACCATCGTAAGTTTATTTTAAATGATACGAAAACTTTCATTTATGCTTTGTTTTATGCAGAGATTTGGAAGCATTGAAGCAATATAAAACACGTTCACCCTATTCAGATGTTGCTGATACTTCACGAATGCTTACAGTTTATCGACGAGGTGATGTTGAAAAACGGTAAGATTAAATTAATTCGATATTTTCTATTGTTTTTTTGTTCTTTTTATTTTTAAGAGCCTATGAAGTTTGGGGTAGTCCAGAAATGTTATCGAAAGAAAAAGCAAAACGTGCTAAAAATCGACAAGATGAATATGAACGTAATTGAAATACATAAACTATATATTGTTTTATTTCATTTGTCTCGTATTAATAGCTGTCTTCAGTTTAAAAAAATCTGTTAAAGAATATCAAAAACGTTTATCATTATTAGAAAATGCTTCATTCGATAATCGAAAATCAGTAAATTATATTCCTAATTTAAAACAAAAAATGTTTATTTTTTCATAATTAGGTTAAAAAGAATATTCTTACAACTGGTAGTGGAAAAGTAGTTATTGCAGCAGTAGTTATGTAAGATTAAATTTAATATTAAATAAATCAATTTTTAGTTTGTCTCATTAATCTAGTAATGCAACAAATGCAGTTGTGAAAACAATTGGTTGGTTATTTACTGGTTCAGCTTCATTATTTTCCGAAGCCGTGCATTCCATTGCTGATACATGCAATCAACTGATATTAACTTTTGGTCTATGGCAATCAATTAAAAAACCGAATCCAGAACATCCGTAAATAAGAGTGAATTTCGAATTAATTGAAATTAAAGAATGTTTATTGTTTAGTTATGGTTATTCAAATATGACTTATATATCATCATTAATAAGTGGAGTAGGAATATTTTGTTTCGGTACTGGTTTAGCTTGGTATCATGGTGTATTAGTATTATTACATCCACAAGAAATGCAATCAGTGTTTTGGGTATTGCAAGAGATGTAGAGTTTTTGATTTGGAAATGATTTGTATTGTATTTTTTAGGGTATAGCACTTTTAAGTGGTTCATTGATTTCTGAAGGAGGTTTGTTTTAATTGTTTCTTAATTTGAATTTATTATATTTTCTTTTGTATTTTAGCAACACTTTATATGGCTGTCAATGAAATTCGAGCATCAGCAAAAGAGACTGGCATGAGATTTTGGGAATACGGTATTTAAATAGTCTATATATTTCTATTGATTAATTGTTCTTCTTCTTCTTTGTATAGTTGGTCAAGGATATAAACCAAATGTGAATGTTGTTTTACTGGAAGATCTCGCAGCTGTTTTAGGAGTATGTGTAGCTGCTTCAGCTATGGGTCTTTCAGCTTATCTTCAATCACCTATTCCAGATGCCATTGGATCACTTGTAATTGGTGGTATTCTAGGTGCTGTTGCTTCATTTATAATCTATTCGAATACTGCTGCACTTGTTGGACGGTGAGTTTCAAAAAAGAAATTTTTATATTTTCTCTTTTTGATTTTATTAACATAGATCTATCCATCCGAATCAAATTGAAGCAATCAATAATGACTTAGAAAATGATCGAATGGTTCGGTAAGTTGAATTATATACTAGATTTGTTTTTAGAATTCTTCTTTTTTTTCTATTAGTGCTCTGTATGATATAAAAGCAACAGATATGGGTTCACAATCAGTCATGTTTAAAGCTGAAGTGGATATTGATGGACGAGAAATAACTCGATCATATTTAGAACGAATTGATATACAACTTATTCTTGAAGTTAGTGAAATAATTTCAATTTATAAAATAAATTATTGTTTTTTTAAAGGAAATTCAAAAAATAGATACAATTCAGTCAGCTGAAACATTTCTTCTTAAACATGGAGAGAATGTTGTCGATAGAGTTGGAGCAGAAATTGATCGTATCGAACGCAATCTTCGAGTAAAATTATTTTCTTTTTTCTTTTAAAATTTCTATTTTATTTCTTTTAGAAAAAACATCCATATTTACGACATGTCGATTTAGAAGTTCTCTAACATACAACGCTTTTATTTTTGATTATTTTTTCATGTATTTAGTCGCTTTACTTTTTCTTGTAAATATATATATTAAATATATATTCTTTATCGCATCCATTTACGAACACATGATAGTATATACAATTAGATATTAATGCAATGATTACACAATCTATATATATATTTGTAAATTTAAGTTATACAAATTGATAAAAGAAAATATTTCACGAATAAATCTTTTGCAAAATAGTTGGCTTGATCCTGATAGTATGGATGGTGAGCAATATATTAACCTGTTACCGATCTAGTCTGCCTTCGCCAAAAATGAAATTCACCGAATCGATCCTGATCTTTTAACTGATATATCAACTGAAACACTTCTTTTAACTATGTCAAATCAATTTGCCAGTAAATCAAACGGAATTAGACTTTGAAGATAGTGATTTTCTACTGAGGATATTATTTCAGTCTCACACGCATTACTTTGTGCTGGTTTAGATGATGATTTTCTCAATTCTTGTGTTATGACTGATTCATTAAAAATGTGTGGTAACAACGAATATTGCCGTTTAAAATACAAATATATTTATTCGCTTGATAAAATCTTCAGTATTATTAATGTAGAATAGAAGAAATACAGAATTATGTCACATTTAATTGTATACACAAATTAATGAATAGTAAGAATATTTGTAACAATTCAATTTTTTTTTATTGAAAATAACACACGATAAAAAGCCTACTTTATATGTGAAAAACAATGAGAAGAAACGATTATATTATTCTATTGAACAATCAATGTAAAAAAAAGAATATATTTACACACAGAAAAAGAATTCATTGACTTTGTCAACACGAATACCTTGTAAATTCGACCAAAATAGTAAAATTTGATCGTTCTCTTTGATGAAAATAGAAAAGTATTTACGCAACTTCGATGTATGCCATGTTTCTTTTATCGATATACTTTTAATTAAAAAAATGACTCATTCACTTGTTAAAGTATTTTTCATTATTTGATAATGCACAATAATTAATAATGTTTTCAATATTTCGAACAAGAGATAAACAGAAAATACACAAATAGACAAACCAATGATAAGTGTGTACTTAAGACATGATTGATCATCAATAAAAAATTCTCCATGAATACATAGACATATAATAATAAATAAATTCGATATAAAAAATAATCGAAATGGTTCTTTGAAGATCATTATTATACAAATTGTATTGATGAAACAAATTAGTATCGAAAAATACTGTAACGGAAGTAATATCTCATCATATTCATGTTTAATATGTCGATTGTTTTCTAATATACGAGAAATATGTTGTGAATCTAATTGTGCCATTAAATAATCACATCGTCCACAGGATAAATCATTCGGAATAAAATTTGATTTTAAATCATCTGATAATTGTTTTAATTCTTGTTTATATTTATTTATTGTTTCTTTTTCAACTTGTAAATGTTCAGAAAAATATTCTTGTTTCAAATAAATATTATTCATCATTGGATAATAGATTGAAAATGCTTTCGAATAAATAATAATTAATATAAAACATATCAATAACAATATCTTCCCATTACGATCGATTAATGAATCAATTGGTTTTAGTGGCTGAAAATAGAAAACAATCAGATTATTTCCTCTCTGAGATTTTCTTCAAAAATACAAAACAATGAAATCCTTTTCACAATCTTCTATCAATTGGCGACATACCAGATTATCGAAACATTTTTTATACAATTTCTCTTCTAGAAGAATAAAAAGTAAAAAATAATTTTGCAAAATTTTAATTAATTCGATTTCCAACGTTACCAAGTAGATTCGGAGAATTGATTGTATTCAGTGTGTTAGCATTAAAATCTGAATACGACGACATGATGATGATAATAAAAAGCTCTGAAAAACATGAACAGTTACTATTGAAAGAAAAAGAACGATAACGACAACAATAAAAAACAAAATACTATTATCTGTTCCTTTCTATTTCAATAAATATAATGTCAAGTATTATTTCATAACACGATTTTAACAGAATAATCCAAGATACAAAAAGAATGGAAAATGTAAGGGCTATAGCGGCTGTTGGGTCATGTACATAGATAGAACTGAAGATGAAAAAAAAAGAGAGAAAAGAGACAACTGAAATAAACATCGACCCATCAAAAACAACAAAAACGACAATTAAATTAACAATAGAAAAAATATTTAATAACGTACGTATTGTTTTTAATTGTCGTTTTCGTTGTTGCTGCATATTTATCATATTTTTTATACGACTGAAAGTACTGCGATATGCGTTGCAGTGAAAACAGTTATGTTCATTGTGGATCATGTTTGCTAATATTTCGGCTAATTTCGTGTCATTAACTTCATTCAGCTTTTCATTCGTTTCAAGGAGCAGAAGCGACGAATTAAGAGCACATAAACCGAACAAGGAAAAATAAACAATCATCAAACCAAACAACAAGAAAAACAGATAACATGAATTAGTTCGTCGTAAATAATTTGCTGTTGGCGTCTTAAAGAACAAGAAAACAACTTTAGTAATCATCAAAATAAAGAAGAATTGACGGTATCGAAAAACATTGAACACTAAGGTAGTTGACCATGGGGAATCTAGTCCTGAGATCGATTAGAATGAATTAGTCAATTAGGTAGTTATTAATTAATAATTTTAATGATTCTAGCGAAAAATGAATCACAGGTAACTAACTAGAAACTGTAATGGTGCGAAAAAAAATCTTCCTCAAAAATTTTAGTCAAATAGTAAATTTTGTAGCAATATGCGAAACAACGGTTTTTCACAGAAATTGAGTAAAATGTTTTAGAGAGCTTCGATCAACCTCATCCAAACGTTGCTGAAAAGAGTAGCATCAAATCTACCCAAACGCAAAATCAAAAATAATTCTTTTCCGAATGTTTTTTTCAAAAAGAGGGGAAGGGTACCCTTAAGCATGGAATCAAAAAAGAATAAAATTCATTTAAAAAATTGCCCTTAACCATCTTTTTTAGCGATTATAAGATGTGGATATAGGTATCCATGGTTTACGATTCTTATATCCACACCCACTCCTTTTTTTATCAATCTTCGAGACGTCTTCATACCATACTAAAATACTTAAAATTAATGTATCGGTTCATTACATTATGAGGGAGTGCTGCCGTTGTTTCCAGTTCACTTGACATATCTAGAAAACAAGAAATTTATATTGGAGACGAAAGAAATTTTTACTCACTTATTCTTTATTTTTAATATTTCAATACGTGAGAATAATTCTCAATTTTATATAGAAAATAAGAAATATGTTCATACTCTCTTTCTCGTAGAGAACTTTGCAGTAAACAGAAAATGTCTGATTTGTTTTATATATTAGAAGGAGTTGCGATAGTGTAATACAAATCATAACAAGCAAAATTCAAAACAGTCTCTCGTATCATTCAAAAGCGACTACAAATGTTTGACCCATGAATAAGACATATAGATTTTTAGAGAAAGATCTTCTCTGTCGAATGGTATATATACTATCGAATTCTGTTGCGTACCGTAAAAATTGATTTTTGACTTGAATTCAAGACAATTAGAGACCTGCGTCGAAGTCAACTAAATCTCTTCCCTGTAATTCATTTTTTAAATTAAACCTTTTGTTGAGGTGAAAATTTTGTTCTCTGATATTTTCTCTACAAACTGATGTATTTTGAGGATTCAAATCAATGTTTTATTCAGGTTCACGGACACCAAAAGAAAGTTGGATATAGGTCTCTAATTCGCTTGAATTCAAGCTAAAAATCACTTTTTACGGTGCGCAACAGAATTCGATTCTATATATTCCATTCGACAGAGAAAAATTTTCTCTACAAACCTACATATGTCTTGTTCCTAGGTCAAATTTTACTATGAAATTTCTAGTCGCCATTGTTTCCAAAGATATAATTATATATGGGTGTGGATGTGACTGTTATTTCTACTATAACCACACCATCAAGATTTATGTGGTGTTGTTACCTAATATGTATTAGGTTATAGGTTTTTTTTTGATAATAAATTCTTTTTTTAATTTACTTTATTTTGATGCGTTATTTGTTGATCAATTGGTGGTGATGCTCGAACTTGTGGCACAGCGACTGACCGTGCTAAACTTTTTAGTTGTTGTTGTTGTCGAAATGACTGAGGTCGAGTTATAAGACCGAATTCACACCGAGCAAGTTAATGCTAAATTAACCAATCAGCTTTCTAGAAAAGATAATGCGGAGATAAGGGGTCAGATCAGGCACATCTTTTCAGACATTTGACCTCTAAGTCACCTTTCTTTGTGAGATGACTTATCGATAATGCACTAACCAGACATGATTGTATTTCACCAATAGAAAGAAAAATATATGGCGCCTTATATAGATATTTTTCTTCAATGAGGTTAAAGTACATGACCATGTCTACTATAATACAACTGGGCAACCAGATGAAAATAGCATTATTTGGTACTGTCGTAATGAACTCCTTTACTTCTAATTTACTGTTGTTATCCTTCTTTCAAAATACATTTTGTGGATTCAGCATTTGTTAGGACATATAATTATGTTCTTCTTTTTCTATATCATAATAAATTATTTTTAAAACTGAAATAAATCTAATAATTTTGTCTGTTTTAAACATAATATACGGACTTGCAATACTTAAAGGTATTAACTCTTAAATAAATTCAATATCAACTCTCTCTATACAATGCCGACGTCTGCAAATGCATTATAAAGATGTGGGTGTCTAGATGATTAAAGGAACACACCTACATCTACACCTTTTTTGGTACTGTTGTCTAGAGGCATTGGTAATGCTGTATTACTCTCAGCATTGTCAGAATGATTGATAGAATATGAGAATATATTAACTGATCAGTAGAAAATATAGAGACGGTCAGTATATATATATATTGATTGGTCAGCATTGAAAATAGCAGTAGATATTTATGAAATAGCCAGTTTATTTGCTGTAAATAACAGTAAAAAAATATGGTTTATATCAGTAGGAAAAAGAAATTGGTCAGTAGAAAATATATTCTTGATCAGTAAAAAAACTATTTTATCAGTAGAAGTTTGTGAATCAGTACTAATAAAGAGAACGAACACTCGATTATTGCACTATCTTGAGGGTGGATGCGGATATGGTTGAGGGTGTGGATATCATATTTATATCTTATCCAAACTGACAGCCGCACACACACTCACACCAACTCACATCCACATCCTACTTAAGTGATATCCTTTTGTTCATCACTTGGAAATAACACACTTTAATATAAGTCAAGAGAATAGAAGAAGAACGCATTAGTATAGCGAAAGAAAAAATCACCATATAATCATATACGGAGGAAAAAAAAATTTGAAGTGGACAATACTACAAGAAATTTTTATTTTTGTTTTTATACTTTCCGGTTCATTTTATCAACTGATAACAAAGTTTATCTACTGAACATTTCATTAGTATACTGACCAATCATTATTTTACTGACCATTCAGTAAATTTACTGACTTTTCATTTTTTCTATCTACTGACCGTTTCAACTATTTTACTGACCACTTTAATGATAGCTATAGAATATCTCTTTTATTTACCAAAAAGTGTAGCAGTAGAAAAGGCATACAAATGCTTGAAATTATCCTCATCATGTTCTAATGATGAAATCAATCGACAGTTTTGAAAATTAGCACTCAAATATTATCTAGATAACAATAATCAAAGAAGCACGCGAAGAAGCTTAGAAAAGCTTATATTTTTAAAGAAGTTTAAAAGTTCGAAAAGTATAATAGTCGATAGCTGATGATAAATAATTATCTCCTTATCTTGGACATTGTTAATAATAATGCTATATATGTACATGTTTTCCGCTATTTTAAACCTTTTAAAAAAAAACAATATTGGTCGTTCACTCTCCTTTATTCATTGCATTTCGCTATTGAAAATAATATGAGATTTGCCAATGTTTAAACGCAAAAAAGAAATAACCTAATTTTATTTTTAAACATTTGCTAAACAAAAAATAAACAAACAATTAAGTATAGCCAATAGTTCTTTTCTTATGATGTTGACTAATATCAGAAATAGTTGGTATTGGTGTTTTTAATTCATTTGGTGCTGGTATTGTTCTCGTTACGGATTCCTGTTCTTTATTTATTTGATCACGTTTCTTTTCGTCATCAATTGCATCTTCTGAACTACCTTCATCAATTAATTTTATATTTGCTTTTTCAAATGTATATAATAATGGATCTGATGGTGGAAGCCATGATGGTAAAATTTTCGAATGAACACGCCATTGACTATATGGAAATGTTAATACACGTTCAAAAACAATATATTCAAGAACATCTTTTGGTATTGTTTCACTACCAAACATTAAACGACCAAAGCGATCATAAATTGCACAAGTCTATAATACATATTCTTTATCAATAAGAATTCTATGTTATTTTATTACTTGTTTTGAATGCATTCGTACAGTTACTTGAGCCATAGTCATACCTTTAAGAATTTCTCCACTTTTTATTGCAACAACATATGATGGTTCAATTTCTTCAATCCATTTCCAACGTAAAGTTTTATATCGAAGGCCACGACCCATTTCCTAGAAAATTTCCAGGTGTAAAAGTGAAAAGAGAAGAATACAATTTATATTTACTGCAAAAGATCCAGGTGTTACTAATTGAATAAGACGTTCCTCATCTCGACTAAAAAGAAAAAAACAAAGAATAAGATTTAATGAATATTTTCAATTTACCTCACTAATGCTTGATGTGCATCAACATATTTTTGTTGAGCTATATCTGCAAATAATAATGGTTCAAAATCTGGTTCATGTTTACGAATTGTACTTGAATGTTTTCTCGTAGCTAAATTCTTTTTTAATGATGTATAAAATTGATTTAATCTCTAAAATATGACATATGTAAATAATATCAATCTATTCATTTAATAAAACTTACATCTCTTGACATTAATGTTGCTTTTCCGTCACCTTCTGGTGGAACATATGCTTCAAATGGTTCAGCTATAAGACAATAAATGAATTAATATTCTTAAACTCTTAAAATATATTTACTTGATGCATCGATAAATAATGGTTTATATTCAGCAGTACGAACTGGTGGAATACCTTCACGTTTAAAATATTCTCTTTGTTCTGCCATAGTAAATGAACGTAATTTTCGATCTTTATCGAAATCAGGTAAATCGATCTACACAAAAAAGAGAATAAATTACCTAGAATAATAAAGGTTAATACATACATCAAGAACTTTAGCACGTCGATATGGTCGCCATTTTGGTTTTGTATGATGATTAGGTGCTTTTGTAAAATGTGTTCGAATATTAATTAAAGTAATCAATACATGACGATTATTCGTCGTTGATAAACCTGATCGAAAGAGATTCAATGCCATGTAGAAATCAGATGAACTAATCTAGAAGTTATTTTAAAAGATGTATGTCCATATTCTATTAATGTGCTCGCAGTTCAAATCTACTAAACAATGTCTTTTGTATTTTCTATCTTCTCTCAAAGATTAATTTAAAAGAAAGACGGTGTAATGTAAATCATAACAAGCAAAATTCAAATTTATCGAATACAATTAAAATCAGAAAAAATAAAAATCAATATAAACATTTTTTACTAAAAAAAAATACGTTCAATAGATATCATTTCTTTGCTTGTTGTTGATATTGCATTTGATGAAGAACACTTTGTGCATCTTTGAATTTTTCTAAAAGTTCTTGTAAATTTTCTTGAGAACAAGTAAATTGTATTTGATCAATATTTGTTGTATATTTATCTCGTTTTGTCCAATTAAGTGTATAAATTGGTTCTAAAAGTTTATCAGTGTAATTTGTTTTTAATTGTAAATCTAAACGCCAATTTATATTCAATAAACGATCATGTTCAATAGATTTTTGTTTTAAATATAATTGAATAATCGATAAATATTTATTATATTCATTTAAAAATCGATCTTGTCGAGATTTATTTGTAAATTGAAGATCATTCAGTTTTGAACGAATTGATGTTTCATCAAAATCATATTTAACACATTCAAATATAGAAGTTAATATAGATGATAAAAGATGTTTATCAAATGATGATGATAATTGTATATTAGTATTTGCTGATGTAAATAATGAAAATATTTTTTCAATTAATTCATTATAATTTTTCTCAGATAAATATGTTTCATCATTTAAACGACGAAAATCTTCTTCAATTTCACTATTTAATTCCATTTATATATATATGAAAGAAATGAAAAAAACAAAAATCTAAAATATTAAAAATAAAAATGCGAGGTTACTATCATAAAAACCCAAAGAGAAACGATATCTATCGATAAACGAAAAGATAACCACATGCGTGTATATGTTTAGTTAAGATAACTATTGCAAATTTTTTATGTATTCTTTTTATCTTTATAATGAATTTCACCGGATAAATTACGAAGTGTTTCAGCAGCAAATTCAGGCGTTATATCACGTTGTACTTGTGCTAACATTTCAAAACCAACCATAAATTTTTTTATTGTCGCTGAACGTACTAATGGTGGATAATATAATGCATGTAATTGCCAATATGAACAATCTTCATTTATTAAATCACCAGTGGGTGCACCATGCCAACCCATAGAATAAGGAAATGATGTATTAAATAAATTATCATATTTTATTAATAATTGTTTCATGATTTCACCTAATCCTTTTTGTTCTTCATCACTTAAATCAGATAAACGAAGAACATGTCTTTTAGGTAATAACATCGTTTCATAAGGCCATACAGCCCAATAAGGCACAACAACAATCCAATGTTCATTATCAATAACAACACGTTCTTTATTAAAATCATTTAATTCACGTTTTATATAATCAAGTAAAAGAACATTTCCATTATGTTTAAGAAAATAATCTTTTTGTGTTCGATGTTTTATACGAGCTTCATTAGGTAAAAAATCTGTAGCCCATATTTGACAATGTGGATGTGGATCTATTATAAAAAAGTTAAAGATAAACAAATCATTCGAAGAAATAAATTTTACTTGAACAACCCATAACATCTCCACGATTTTCAAATATTTGTACCCATTGATATTGACTTGCTAAATCTCGATAAACTTCTATCCATGTTTTAACTATATGTGAAATATGATCAAGTGTCATACGTGGTAAAGTTAATTTTGAATTCGGATGAAAACACATTACTTTACAAACACCTCGAGCTGCATGACATTGAAAAAGATCATCATTATTATTATTTTGATCGTTTTTTGGATCAGGAATGTCAGCAAGTAATGCAGGATAATCATTTTCAAATACGTATGTATGTTCATAAAATGGATTTTGTTGATTGTTTTTACCTCGAATAGCACCAGGACAAAGCGGATTTGTTGGTTTTTCATTACTATTTATATCACTGTCATCGTCATTGTCGTTTTTGTCATCTTCAACACGGCCTGTATTAAAATTATATAGAAATTATAAAGAAATATAAATATAAATATGAAAAATAACCCTGCCATGGTCGACTTAATCGTTGTGGTGAAACAAGTATCCATTCATCTTTCAGTGGATTATATCGACAATGTGAATGTTTCGTTCGATCAAAATTCATAATCTATAATTTGTTTTTTAAATTCACTTTTTTTTTCAAATATTTTCTTTATATATATATATATATATTTTTCAAGAGTAATAAGAAGAGTGAAAGCTCAACGTATATATATAAATATATATATATATATTCAAAGGATTAGCAAACAGTATATGTGTATGTGTGCATAGGTTCACAAATGAAGAAAAAGACTACAGACTACATATAAAGACGAGAACCCAAGAAGTTACTTATTTTATATAATTCACCACACAAATCTCGTGGTATCAGTATTTATATATAGGTAAGAAAATGAACAAGAAGAAAAAAAAGAAACAATTTGTCTTGTTTAATATAATATGTTACTATTTTGAAAAGTTGATAAAGAGCATTTGTTTGTTGTTGTTTTTTGTGGAATGATGCAACGCAGAAAAAAGAGAGACAGAGACAGAGAAAGAAAAAAAAACACAAGCATGGAAGCGCCATAGAATATGATCAATTGTGAAAGGGAGAAAAAACAATCAAAATTCGAAAGAAAGAAAAAAAAATAAACATCACACTTTGTACAATGAAAAACGACCAGCAAATTCTCATTGAGCAGTTGTTGAATTATTGTCATCAGATGAAAAGAAAAATTGTTGTTCTGTTATTGGACTTGTGGATTTTTCTTGTGTTGTTATTATTGTTGTTGATGTTGTTGTTGTACTTGGTAATATAACAGATAGTGGTTGAAGCGATGAAGCTTCATCTAGTGAGCGATCACGTCGAAATTGACTTCTATTTGACAATTTTAGTTTTGAAAAAGTAGAATTTGTACCAATATGTTTGGTTGCTGAGGGAATAATTAATCCTGATGATTGCAAAGATGGTACAACTGTTGAACGATTAAAATTAGCTGGTAATAGTAAAAATGATGATGATGATGAGGATGTAGTTGAAGCTGGAGATATTGGAGTAAATGTTAATGAGGATGATGATGAACATGTAGAATTGGTTGGACTTGGACACATACTTGGAGAATTTGGTGGAGGAAATAAATCAATATCAGAATGTTGTATAGGTTTAAAATGTGTATTATCATTGCCGTTTGATAACGATGAAGAAGTAGATAAAGATGGTGGTATCGAAGAAAGAAGATTAAGTGATTGTTGAGTCGTAAGTAAATTTGTATTAGATTCGATAGGACCAGGTGAAGGAGATTCACTAAAAATATATATATATCTTTAATTTTTATCCATATGTTAAGATCAAATATTTTTCTTTTATGATTTAATAGAAGTAAATATATCCATTAGACATAAAAGAACTCAGTGACATTATTCCATCTGTGAATTTTAAGTAATTATGAGTACTTACGGTGAATTACTTGGCCCGAATAGTGATTCATTATCGCTTGCTATTCTGCTCTTTTTACTATTTAATCCGGCACTTGATTCGTCTCCTTCTACAATAAGAAAATGAGTAAAGAAAAAAAACAATTTTTTTAATTTACGTTTTCGCTTAAGATTGGGTGGAAAAGATGTGATTTTATTAGATGAATTGTTATTATTATTATTATTATTAGTGGTAGTTGTTGTGGTTGTTATCATTCCAATAGGACTTTGTGACCGACTAGGTGGAGAAGCTAAATAACATTGGAATGGTGCAACTTGTTGTTGAAGAGCTGGACTATAACATTGCTAGAGAAAAAATCAAGATTAAATATAATCTATTTGTATTATACACATATATATGTTACACTTACTCTTTGATTACTGACAACAGCACAAGGTCGAGCAGGAGTTGATGGACTTGGCGAAGATGAATAACCAAGATTAGATGAATCTGAACTATTGACTGATGATCGACGACTATCTATAGAATGAGCTGGTTGCTGTGACTGTTGATCGTCCTTAAAAAACAACTAAAATTTTTGTTTTTTTCGAATTGATAATTTTAATAAACTTACTCCAACTGCTAGATCAGTAAAGGATATCGACATTTTGAGATTATCATGTAAATCACTACAAAAACAAATAAAAAATTATTTTTTATAAAATAAATTCCATATTTTACCGTTCTTGAGAAACTTCATCAACAATAGGATTAGTTAATTCATTTTTCATAATATGAGCAAATCGACTATGACGAGTTTGATGTGAACTCTAAATAAATAAAACTTAATATAATACGATTATCTCCAAAACTATATATTTTCTCGTCTCAGTTCTATTAGAAAGAAAAATATTTTATTAACCTTGATATTTCTTTCATAGATTCGAATACTGAAACATCTATCGATATAATTTATGTTTACTATTTTTCAGTAGATAAAAAAAGAAACGAAATCAGATAATATATCGATTTTTATCGTGTCATTGAATAAAAGAAATATAAAATCTGACCTTGTTAAATACAAAAAAAGTACTTACAAATGATGAGCTATGTCTACGTAATTTTGAATCACAAAAATCCACATCATCAAATTGCATATCATTTCTAAACCGAAAAAAAACAAAAGAATAGTCAATTATATGAATAACAAAATTTTTAAAAATCATACTCAGTTGTATTAACAAGAAGAGGAAGAGCAGGTGAACTATTCGATCGTTTAATTGACAAATCGAATAAATGTTGCCGAAATGATGATGTATCATCTTCTTCTTCATCCATCACAAAAAAGAAAATTCAATCTATTATAAACTATTTCAATCTAGAATAGGAAAACATTTCTGAAAATATATATCTCTTATTAAAAATCTAATTGTTTCGATGGTGTACATGTCAATGATTTATTTTTATCATCACGACTTGCATCCTCGCTTAGATCAGGTGGAATAGAATATTTTTCAAAAACAAGATTTTTTCGATGTTTAATTAATTTTATTCCAATATCCCATGTATCAGGTATAAATGGTTGTATTGTATTTAATCTTGGTAATTTAATTAATTGACAAAAAGCAACATAATCATTATGAATTAAATTTGATATTTTTAATTCAAAAACAATATCAGCTAATGTTTCAAATAATTTCGATTTTTCATTTAATGTTATTATACATGTTGCTAATGATGTACGTAATAATATTCTTAGATGATATAAAAATGCAAATAATTCATCAGTATGATTTGATGTTTTATCATCGAATAGAGATAATGATAATGATTGAATACCAATACGAAGTATACGTTTTTCAGTTTGTTGAGATGAATAATCATTTGTTAAAAGTTTTTGAAGACTTTTTAATAAATAATTACGATAGGATAATGTTGATTGTGATTGTTGATAATCATTCCATGTTATTTTATGAATTTTTATTTGTTCGATCAAATCATTCGGAATAGGTTTTGTACTTTGTAAATCATAATGAATATTTGAAGTTGATGATGAATCAATTGTTGATAGATTTTCATAACGCCAAGCTATTTTCATTTTTTCATTTTCATCATCTAAACGATTCTCAGTTGACGAAAGATTTTCTTCTTTTGTCGGAAGATTTTCTGTTGGATCATTTCGTAAAGCTGATATACATAAATCATGTTTATTATAAATTCCTTCCGATAAATAACAACGTAATATTGAATCGGATAAATTGGAATTTTTATCTTCATATATAAGTAAAAGTGAACCGATAGGTAAACCACCTCCAATAAATGTATCAAGTGATGATATACCAGTTGATGTTAATAATAATGTCCCATTTGAATTTAATCGTGTACCTGGTGGTAAACGAATATTTGATGTTGATGAAATTTTCTTTTTAAATGTAATCGACATTGTTAAAAAGAGAGAAATAGATGTATGTTGTGATGGATATATGTTTATTTTTAAATCAATTATCATTCGTATATTGATTGGTTAAAAATAGAAATAGATGTCATTAGTTAGATAAAAGAAAACAAAAGAAAAATATATATTTATTCATTTGATAGAAAGTTTTGAAAAAAGAAGAAAGATACTTTTTTTTGAATGGCTTCTGCAGCAGCAGCATTAAATACATGTTCAGTACCTTTACTAGCAGGTAGATTTCATGGGATTATTTTAAAAAGGAAATAACTATTTTTTTGTTTGTATAGTTCGTGGTCCAGGTGCAGTTCAGTTAGTAACGAGTCCGGCACATCAAGATGAAATTAATAAAGTGCAAGTGTTTGATGTAGAAAATTCTCGTTTAACATGTTTTAGTCGAAGTGGTCATCAATTTGTTATTGCTAATAAAGACGAGTTAGTTTAAATCTTTCGAAATTTCTTCATCGTTCATTTTTTTGTAATCTAGTATTCAAGTTTATTGTTGCAATATAAATAAAGTTCTATATTCATTACCAAAACGAAGAATCAATGCTATGGAATATAGTCCACAAGATACATATCTATTATTATTTGAACCATTTACGAGTATGTAAAGTAAGAAAAGAATTTTAGCACAAAAAAAAACTTATATTTTTCAAAATAGCTGTGCAAGGTGAAGATGAAAAACCGAATTTAACTATTCATAAATCAACTAATGGAGAATTAGTTGGATCTTATATTCAAAAAAAACAAAATGAATGGTAAGTATTAAGAAATTAAATATATATATATATGATAAATATTTTCTTTTCAGGGCACCGATTTGGTCAAATAATGAAGCTATATTTGGTCGAATACAAACAAATCAAGTCTGGTTTTATGAACCACCTAATTTTGGTAAATAATTTTAAATACATTTTTGTTTGATTATATTTATTGTTTATTTTTAAGAACGTTATGTCAATCGATTGAATATCGAAGGTTTACAAATGTTTAGTTTAGGTAAAAGTAATCCACCATATACTATCGCTACTTTTATCAAAGGTAAAAAGGTAATGAAGAAATTAATTTGTATTTATATATGATTTTTATTATATATTTTATCATTTAGGGTATACCTGATTGTGTTCGATTACTTTCATATCCAGATTTAAAATCGACTATTGCAAGCAAAAGTTTCTTTAATTTCGATCATGTTAACATGAAATGGAATTTCAAAGGTTAGTTCAAAATTAGTCATTCTTTTAAAATATATATATTTTTTTTCAGGATCAGCATTACTTGTACTTTGTAGTACTGATATGTCCGAGAATAGTTATTATGGTGATACAATGCTTCAACATCTTAATCGAAATGGTGATAGTAGTAGTATTCAATTAAGTAAATAATTATTTGAATCTTTTTCTATATTCTAAATATCTTATTTTTCTTTCTAGGTAAAGCAGGTCCAATTTATGCTATAGAATGGTCACCTATTGCGGATGAATTTTGTGTTGTTTATGGATGTATGAATTCTTATTCTATAATTCTTTAATTCTACTTGTTATTTTTTTAGTTATGCCATCAAAAGCAACAATATTTAATTCGAAATGTGATGTTGCATGGGAACTTAGTTCAGGTGCAAAAAATGCTGCATATTATAGTTTTGATGGTTTACATCTTGCACTTTGTGGTTTTGGAAATGTTGCAGGAAATATGGAAATTTGGTATGTTATATAAATTCCTAAATATTGTCTGTCAACAATAATTATTGTTTTAGGAATATAAAAGATCGTAAACGTATATCACAAATTGAAGCACTGGATACAACACATTTTCAATGGTGTTATGATAATTATCATTTTATTACAGCTACAACAGCGCCACGTTTAAGAGTAAAAAATGGGTATGAATATCTAATTAGTTGTTGATGTAAATTATTAATATTTATTTCAGTTTTAAAGTCTGGCGTTTAACTGGCGAACTTATTTATGAATATAAAACAAATGAAAATCAAGAATTATGGCAAGTTTTATGGCAACCAGGAACCTATAATCGAGGTCAAAAAGCACCCATTGTAGCTCCAGATGGTTCGGCACCAGGAAAACGTAATAGACTGGAAAAAAACAATTGACTTAATTTTTTGTTTTGTGTTTTTTAATAGCAAAAGCAGCAGCTGCATATCGACCACCACATCTTCGACAAACAACTCGACAAGTTCCAAAATTACACGATGAAGTACCTGTTAAATCAGCTAGTCAACAACCGCCACGTGTACCGAAACCTGGTGGTGTTGAAGAATTATTTACAGGCGATCTTGAAAAAGATAAAAAAATTAGACAAGTTCATAAAGTATAGAATTTTTTCCAAATGACAATGATACTAATTTGTTTAATATATTTAGAAACTTCAACAAATTAAAGGTCTTAAAGAAAGATTAGCAAATGGTGATAAACTTGAAGTTGATCAATTAGAAAAAGTCAAACGTGAAAATGAGTTAATAGAAGAAATGGAAAATTTAAGACTTTAAATTTTTTATTACTAAACAAAATCAATTTTTATTAACATAAACTTTGTTGGCATTGTTTTTTTTGTTTTCTAGATATGACAAATACTGTCACAATGAATAATAATAATAATAATAATAATAATAATGTATCAGACGAAAATCGAAAAAAACGCAAGTTCGTATATTTATCTTTATCTTTATCTTTTCTTTTCTATAAATATTTTTTTCTTCTTCTAGAGTAAAACGTGTTACTATTGAATTAGGAGATTTAACACAACATAATTTAAAACAACTTAAAGTTCTTAATCGAGATGTTTTTCCAGTTGCTTATAATGAAAAATTTTATAAAGATTTATTAGTTTCTGGTGAATTATGCAAATTAGGTAAATGTTTTTGTTTCTCTTATTCAATATATACACAAGAATGATTGATTAAGACAGTCGATATATAAAAATATGATTGATGTTTTTGAGTTTATCTCTAATCTTGTATTATTCTTTCTTTCAAGAGAATTATATATGAATTAACCATAGTTGTATTTTTTCTAGCTTATTGTAACGACATTGTCGTTGGTGCTGTATGTTGTCGTATTGATTTATCGGAAAATCGTCGACGTTTATATATTATGACATTAGGTGTTCTTGCAAAATATCGTGAACTTGGCTTAGGTACATTAATGCTTGAACATGTATTTAAAATTTGTGAACGTGAAGGCAATATAGATAGTATATATTTGTATGTAAACAAAGACTTTTTTGTGTTTGGTAAATTATTAGGATTGTGTTTTTGTTCATTTATAGACATGTTCAAATTAATAATGAAACTGCTTTATCATTTTATAAAAAATTTGGTTTTCAAATTATTTCAACAGCAACAGAATATTATCGACGTTTAGAACCATGTGATGCTTATTTACTCGAACGTTCATTAAAGAAAACACAAACAAATGAACAAACAGCATCAGGTACATCACCTGTTAAACAAAATTCTAAAAAAATTCCTACAGTACCTTTATCAACAATTACAGATGTCGATTAATTATCAAAAATTTCTCTTATTTACGTACACGTACACGGACACTTAATTATAACGAATTGTTTCATTTTTGTTGTCGCTTGTCTGTGTTTCTTTTTTTTTTATAATGAAAAAATACATATACATTTAAAAACACAAGAAAAAATGTCGATATATTTATATAGGACGGCAGAACATCGCACACACACACACACATATATATATATAAAATGATAGAGGTTTGAAAAAGTTTTCTATTAAACATGTGGTTTTTTTTATCATTTTGTTGTTGGTATTGTCGGGGGAACTACACGTTTTAATGATTGTAACTGTAGATAATCAGTATCAGATACATTTGATGGAGCAGCTCGAACGAGCATCTAAACAACAAATATTATCATGTCTCAGAAGAGAAGATAAAAAGTTATACCGGCTCAATAAATGAATCATTACGAGGTCTTGACACATCATCAATAACTAAAATTACAAAAATTCGAATTTATAAATTAAATTCATTTGAGCATTACTTTGCCCTCCGGTAGAACGACGTTCTGGTATTGATTGTTTGATATCCGTTGATTCTGTTTTCGAATTACGAATAAATGCTAAGATACCTCCAAGAATAAGAAGAAGTAAAAGCATAGCACCAACAGCTACTAAAACCCATGCCCATACTGATAAACGTTGATGAAGACCACGAGCTTTCGGACAATGACGAAATTTTGATGCTGTCAATTCAGGATTTCCTATGGCACGAATTATATAAAACTAAAATATTTGTTCATATGTCTAACCTGGTAATGTAAATTCACAAGCAAGTCTAGAATAACGTTTATTACAATTAATTTGACGTAAACAAATATGATTTGAACCAAGTTCACTTGTTTCGAAACATGTTGCATTAGGACTTTCTGGTTTAACACAATAATTTGGCCAATAATCTTCTTTATCATCATGACATCGTTGTAATGTATTATAATCCGTTGGAAGTTGAATAGCATAATTAAGTTCATCATATTCTCGAAAGAGTGCTTGTAAAATTTTAGTTTTTTCAGGTGTATTTAATATTAATTGTCGTACACCTTTTGTCGGTTGTATAAATGTTTTACCAAGTACAAATGATGTTTGTCGTTCTAATGAACGTGTTATTTGTCGTATGCATACACGTTGTGCTTGATACCATGAATATTTTTTTCCATCTGTAGCAAAATATAAACATTCATTACCTATTTGAAAGAAATGATCCGGACATTGACCACGTTGAAATTGTGCATCAAATGATGATTTTGAACTTCGAATTGATTGATACAGATCTAGAATTTAATAATAACTAAATGTATATAATTAATTGATTTTTGATAAATAGAATACCTTGTGGTAAATCTTTTTCATCATCATGTTGTTGTGCATTGATTAATATTAGAAACGAAATAAAACATAGTAAGATCAAATTATCATACGTCATATCTGCTAATCAACACAACCAAAAAATGTTGTTTGTATGTTAGTGGGTGTTGAGTTTCGAGAGAATAGAGAAAGCTATCAGATAGATAAATATCGTTGCATTCGTCTTACTTATTCTTTCTTTTTTTTATACGTTTTTTTCTTGCTCTTCTGTACTTAATGATGATGGTCGGGGACAATACGTGTCGTAATCGCACTCTTCTTTTTTTCTTCTCTCGCTCTCTCTCTGTTTTATAGTAGCAATACTATTAACACTCCTCTGTCATTGTCTGTCGTCTTCCCAACCAACCTGGTAAACATACATTTTAGTTCTTTTTTGTCGTTATATGTACAAAGCACGGTAGTATGTTAGCATAATACATCAATGATGAATAATTATTGACCAAGAAAAAGTCAAGAGGAGAAACACAAAAAAGAAATATCAAGGGAAAAGAAAAACCAGATGTAGATCAATTGATGGAGCATTACCTGTAAATTACTCAGAACGAAAGAGAGGAAAAAAGAAGAAATAATGATAACAATTATTATGCTTTCATTCATTTATCCATTGAAATTCTGAAGTTTCCTGTATTTATATTAAAATTTATACAACAAGAAAAGAATTCACAAAAAAAATCCTAAATTACATAAGTTCCAAATCTATTAGGTAACTTCTTTTCTATTTCCGCAATTGATTTTCATCATCTAATAACCAATCGGATTCACGAGTATGCATTGTTTCATCGATAATATTTGTTGATAATGCTGAAAAAGAAGAAAATGTTTGTAACATTCTAATATATATTACTTTAACATACGCATGATTATTTCATATTGATATGGTTTATCATGTGTATCTGTTATTGCCGATAGAAGTTTGGTAATTAATTCATCACACTAAAATAAATTGAATAATTATTAAAATAATAATAAAAAAATGAAAATTTCAAACTTTTTTTGCATTTAATCGTAATATTTCATTTTGATTTGTTAAACCTTTTATTTGTATTAGAAGTTTTTCTTTGTCATGTTCTTGAGCATTGGATAATTTCGGTTTTTCTTTATCATGTCCTTGATCATCGGATAATTTCGCTTTTGGTTTTAAAAGAACGGCACGTTGTGGTTTAGCACTTGAACTTGGATCTTTTGCTACTTCAAGTACTTTTGGTACAAATACGAGACATAATGTTATTGTAACACAAAGTAAAATAAATATCGATGTTAATATATATGAACGTTCATGTTGATCACGTAAGAAATAACCAACAACAGCTGTTGTTATACTTAAAAGAACAACATTATAGAGACTCATTCCAACATAAGTAGAATCATTCAATGCATTTATATGAACATTTCGTGTTGCCCATGCAAAACGTGAACCAACAACCTTGTTTTAAAAAAAGAATATCGATTTAATATAAGATATTTTTTCCTAATTAATAAATTACCATGAGTACACCTTTATAAATTGATTGTATTGTCATCCAAATTGATCGACGTTTTGATAGACATTCTTCATAACTCCATAAAATAACAATATCTTCATCTTTTGTCTAGATTATAATAATGAGTTAGTTCTTTACAAAAAAAATGAATCTTTTTTTCAATACCTGTATTTGACTTGTATGTCGAAAAATTTTCAATGGATCAATAATTTGCCATGATGTTAAGACTATGAAATCAAGTGCAAAAAGTATTCCAACAAAAATAAATAACCGATAATCTTTAATTGCCTTTGAAAAAAAATACATTTTCATTTATTTTCAAAAAATATTATTTTGTTCTATTATTTACTCGTTTCGATGCATTTACAGTAGTAAATATAGTATGAACACGCCATGTTTTACTAAATATAGCTCCAAATGAAATAGTAAAACCAATTGATAAAGTCCAGACACGTGCCTTTTGAAAGAGAAATAATTTCAATAATATAAAACAAATTCATTAATCTTACTGCACAAATAAAATTCATAGCTGATTCAGAATTTCGTTCTCCTAATAACGTCGAATCAATACCCATTAAAAGAACACTTGTGTATGAAAGTATACATCCAGCTATAATCAAATTATTTATTTGTGGACTTGACATTCGAATAAATCTATTGAAATAAATATTCAAAATTTTAACTAAACAAAACTAATCTTTTGTTATACCTATGTGTACGAAAAATAATATTAAAAACAAAAAATCCTATTGCTAAAAATATTCCAATGCCACTAATGCTTGCTATGATTGTATATGTTAATACTGAAATACGTTGATTACGTTCAATACGTTTAATACGATCATTGGGTGGTCCATGACCTAATTGATTATTAAGAAATTATTTCAATTAAAATAAAATTAGCAAAAGAATTCTAGACTTTACCATGCCAAGTTATATTTCGTTCATTTCCTGCTGGTAAAAGAATATATTTTGATTGATTTGTTGGTATTGCAACGAATAATTTCGCAATATCCACATTTGTTGATTTGTGACTATGATAAACTATGTCAAACGTCGAATACAAAATAAAATTCATTTTATTATACCTAATATTTGTTCGATAACAATTTCACCAATACGATCACCATTATTAAAACGTATACGACCTGTAACACCTTCAATATCAATATTTTTTATAATATCAATTAATTCATGACGCCAACATGATTGATGCCAAATCGAATCAATATGAAATTCATTTGGACAAGAATTTAATTTTTCAAATGCAGATGTTAATGTTAAAATAGCATCAAATGCATAACCAACAAAATAATTTGTTGATTTAAATGTTGTTAAATCAAATTTAAATTGATCTAATGTCTAAAGATAAAATTGAATGTTTAGAAAAACTATTGTTATGAAAAATTAAAATACAAACTAAATCAGCCATTGTTCGTTTTCTAGTATTATAACCTAATTTTGCTACACGAGTTTGAAGTGTTCCATTGAGTGCATGAAGAATTTCAGATGTATTACAAGGACCTGGATTATTTAACCACCATTTAGGTTCATAATAACCAACAATTATCCATTGAAAACGCGAACCATATAAATTATATCGAAATGCCTAGATAATTCTTATGTTATATTTATTTTAATATAAACTCTAATTAAATTACCTCACAAAATATTCGAACAGCCATAGTTGAATTAAAATTTCCAAGAATAATTCGAATATTATTTTTCTAGAAAATACATAATATTTATCATTTGAGAATCTTTTTCCTGTCAAAAGATATATATATATATATATATATATGCATTGATGTTAATGAAATAACACATTTGTATTGTTCAAATAATTTGTCTATTATATGAATATAATAGATATCAAATTATATGCTGCTTGCATCTATTGTAATAGACTTCAAAAGAAAGTAGACTCTTCAATAATATCGAGAAAAATTCCGGCAAAGTTTTTGTTTGACTATATGTCTATGTTTATTTTTAGAATGAATCTAGATTTTTCTAGGATGATTTTTATTGAATAATTACCCGTAATTCGTCAAATGCATCTTTTAATGAATTTCTTGTTCGATTGCCTTGTGTTTCATCAAGATCATTGAATGATATACCTCTTGATAAAGCATTCTCCCAATCACTTTCATCTTGTAAAAGATCATTGAATCGTGTTACAGGCTAGAATAAATAAAAAGAAACTCTTTGAAATAATCAAACTTCGTTTTTAAACTCCGATCACTGTATAGTGTGATGACGCACTACATATGACTGAGTTCATCGTAGTAACAGCGAAATTAGGCGAAGCAATAATCTTATATTACTTCCTCAAAATCTTTTCTAGAAGAGGCAATTGCTGCCTCTTGTACTGCTAGTGCATCGCTCATATTATTATCAATTACCATCGTATATTGTCTTTCATATTGATATAATATTCCAAATCGACGCCAATTATATTTTCTTAATAATAATTTTCGAGCTATAAAAATAAAGCAAAAAATTCGATTTATTTAATTTGAGAAATAATTATTTTACCAATATTATGTTGAGAATCACCAGGTACAGTTCGTATTAATGATGGATATTTTTCTCTTGCAGTAAAAAGTGAACTTGTTTCAGAATAAATAATCTATTCAAGAAAAAATATTGAACAAAAAAAAAGCATTTATTCTGTCTTTCATACTATCGTCATATCAAATATTCCAGCTGTTTCAGCAATTGCTGATGCAACTGTATGACAAGAACCACTAAATATAGCTAATGGTCGAGGTTTTCGATGTAACATATCAAAAACCATTTTTGTTCCAATAGCCATATCACATGGAATATCTTGTTCATCATGTTGTATATCAAGTTCAGTTTGAATTGTTTCTATTGTTCTTAAACGATTTACTGCATACTCAATAATTGTTGATGCTGAATAATTCGTATCATATTTATCTTGTGTAAAAAGTCCAATTAATGGTATTTGTTTTGATATTGTTAAAGAAATGAAATAATTATAAACGAATAGAAATGTGCAATACCACATGAAGTATATTTAATAGTGATATTGAACATTTAGAAAGAAATCAATATTATATTACAGCATCAAAAACAAGATGTCTGTTATATATCAAAGAATGATTATCTAGAAAACAAATAAAAGAAAAGAAATTGCCGACAACTCTCTAATTGTTATTATTCTGCTCTCTTTTTTTTTGCTCTATCAAGGTTAACGATTGATCGTTAGTGACTATATTAAATATTGATTGACTCAAAGAAGTCAAAAAAAGAAAATTAGAATGTCAGATATATTTTTTACTTCTCTATCTTGTCATTTTGAGTATACTCCCCCCACCACCACCGGATGGAAATATTCAGAAACTCAACATTAACAAAATCGGCCTATCTATTGTGTATGTGAACAAATGTTCTCTTTCGTCGACGTCATGATCGAAATTTATCTTATTAGGAGACGTTCAAACATAATTCATTCAATAATGATAATGAGTAATATTACAACTATAATCAAATTTTCATCAAAGACAGAAATTTCGTCTTCTTCAATCAATTGCTATTGGATGGGAAGAGAGAAAAAAAAGACATATAAGAACGATTCTACCAAACGAGAAAATATCTTCAAATCTACTAAACTATTTTTTTTCTATATATATAAAAAATAAACTAATCAATAAAAAATGATCAATCTATATCAGATCTTTTTTTATGATACTTACCAACTATATTCTATTATATTATAAATAGAAATAATACTTGTTTTTTTCCTGAGATTGAACAAAATCGATTATAGATATATATATGTAGAGAAAGAGAGATGGATCGTTATAAATAAAATATAATATCAAGATATCAAGGGCAGTTATTAATAAGGAGGAATTTGCCGTTCGCTCTCTTTTCTTGTTCTCGAGAGGCATAACACTCATTTTATTCAAATTGAATTAGATCTTAGAATAAAGACGACAACAACAACAATAATAACAGAGATTCATATATTTATATTCAAAAAAAACTAAAGAAACAACGAGTAGAACAATACTAGAGAGATGATTCTCTGATTGCATCAATAGACTGAATTATATGCATTGTAACAATCAAAGAAGGAGAAGAAGAAGAGAAAAAAAGAAGGAGACAAATTGCTCATTGTATTAGTTCTAATTTTATTCTACGGACAACAGAACAACGAAAATTGATATCTAAGAATCTGATAATGTATTTGTTAAAAATAAAAGTGCACCACTAAAATGTGTATATGTATATCCATATATGTTATTACGAGGAGCTGATTGACCTGGGTCATTAAGATCACCAAGTGCTTCAACCATAACTTGATCATTAACATCTAATTCAGCATAAACAGAACCACGAACATGAGAAAAACGTCGTCGACAATCACATCGTATCATACTAAGTACATTTTGATGATTATGAATAATACGTACAGTAGCCTGAAGATTTTTGTTATAATATAAAACAAAAATAATAGAAATATTTATTAAAACTACTTACAATTGAATCCATTTGTGCCATAATTGTCATACTAAATTTATAAATACCTTGATGAGTAGCAGTAAATATACCTGTTGATGGATTATAACCATTGCCTAAATTAACATCTGCATTTTCAAAGACAATTGTTGCTGATCGGTTCGATTCTACGGAAAGCATCTTTTGAAGATAGGCTATAAATGCAACAATAGGTACTGTTTCTTTTGATCGGCCAACTTCACCTGAATAGAGAATAAAATAATTGTTTGAAAGAAATTATTGAATATATTTACCTTGTGGTCCAACAGCACCTCGTAAACCAGGATTACCTCGTGGACCTGGTGGACCAGATGGTCCTGGTGGTCCATGCATTGCTAAGAAACTATCAACTGTAAAACGACGATTGCGTGTATCTCGATCATAGGGAGCTATAATAAAAAAAATTGTCAAATAATTATGAAACAAAGAAAATGAATTAATTTACAAAGTGTAGGTAACGTTGGACATCGTACTGATAGTTGACACATATTCTTATCTTCATCATTAACATCATCTTCTATAGTTGTTTTATTAATATAAACTTTTTCACTTGGCACTTGTCGTGAATAATGTTGATATGGATAATATTGAGTTTGTCCTTGTTTGAAATAATACAATATGATCAAGATTAGAAGGAAAAACTTCGTCATATTTCTATTAAGTTCTTGATTTCTTTCTCAATCTACTTTCTTTTCAACTAATATCGTTGTTGTTTTCAATGTCGACTGTTAAATCAATAGCATTTCCTGTAGACCTTTTTTTCTTCTTCTTTTTCTTCTTCACATTCTTATTGCTCGACTTCTCTATTCATAATATGACTTTTGTTCTAGTATATGCACGGAGTTTTGAAGAAGAAGCAGAAGAAAGAATTATTAATAGGCATCCAATCTGATGACTTTTTTTTTTATTTCTTACGTACTGATGTTATTGCTCTCGGTCGACTTTTGCGCTTTTAGATTTTGTCTAGCTGAACGTCCTGTGCTGTGCTTTTGCTACAGCTTACGATTAATTATATGTCCTATGTTCTGTTTCGTGAATGGCATTAAGTATATGTGTGAAAAATGAGATCCTTCTATTCTTCCATACATAATTCAATCCGACGGATTTTTCATATATAGAAATATTATATCATATCGGATACATAATTTTAAATCAAAATATAACACTTTCTCGTTTGATTATTTCTTTTTTTATGAATGTAACTTAAGCAAAAAAAGAAAAAGAAAAAGGAAATATGACAAAGCTGATTATTTCCTTTTCAGCTTTGAACATAAATAGGATTAGTTTCATTTAATTATTAACAGTTGTTTTAATAATGCTAGTTCTTTATTATTATTAAGAGATGTAGTACTTTATTTCTCCGTCAGATTCATTAATATCTCATGTTTATTAATAATATCTTTATTAATTAAATGTACAATAAAGAGTTTGTGATACAATCGATAAAAAAAGAACCTAGTGAAATAACGACGTTTTCTTTTCTGCTTCAAGCATACATATAATAATCTGTGTTTCAGACATAGTAAACATACGACAATGCGCTGAAGGATACAAAAAATAGTAGATTTTATAAATTCTATTTTAGCTAAAAGTATCGTAGGTATTGATATATTTTAGGAATTTTTCTATATCCAAATGAATAAATTCAGACAGATTGTGTAAGGTTCGAAGAGTTGATAGAATCCGGATGTGGAAAGTCAGGACACATCTTTTCAGGCTGAATATTTAATCGCTCCTGATCGGGCCGAACTGTCAAATCAATCATCGTGAGTTATTGGATTCATTTACAATAAAAGCAATTCTAGTATGTTTTATATTTTATTCTACACATTGTTTTAGATTTACACAGGACTATCAATTCTATACAATTAAAAAATGATTTAGCATTGAATTTTTGGAAGAATTACGATACATTTTCATTTACTGTTGAACATTTTCTAATTTCAGGTACTCGTTCGACAGTAAATCTATGGAGTGAATTATTAATTGGTTTACGTGAACTATTTACTGTTTGTTTTTTAGTATTGGACGCGTCGACTTGTGCCGTTGAATTCAGTGGTGGTGTTTGAGGTTGAGATTGAACTCGAAAGATAGGTCGTCGCATATTTAATGATCCACCACTTGATCGACGTGAATTAAATTTTTTCGAAAAAAATTTTGTTGTATCAGGTCGATTATTCTCATTTGAAGAATAACTAACTGTTGATGATATTAAATCATCACCATTGATACTATCCATACGAGCATCCATTCGATGAATATCAGCTAATTTTCTATTGATACGACCAATTGTAATATTATCTGATGTAATTGTTTGATAATATTGTGAATGTGGTTGATTTTCTTTTTCTGTTGATGAATAATATATTTTCCATAAACGTTGTCGATTTTCCGGATCTTTTAATTCATTAAGAATTTGTTTTTTTATATTATCAGCTTGTATATCATTATAACGAGCAAATGGATTTGTCGTTGACGATGCTGATTTTCCCGATGTTTCATAATCAAATAAAAATCGACTTTCAAATGTACGTGGACGTACACGAAAATATAACATTAATACTAAACCAGCTGAATACCAAATTAATATTACAGCTATATAAATTGCTGCACCTTCATAATCATAATCATCCAAATTTTTATTTGATAATATTGTACTGGGTACATCCGATGAATTAACAGATGTAAATGACATCATCATTTGATTATCTACAAAAAAACGTATTGATATTTTTTCTGTCATTAGAATGATATATGTCAATATGTCAACCTTTACATGTCGTGTATAAAATAAAGTAATGTAATTGTATAAAGAGTAAGTAAGATTAGAGTTGTCGAAATATGAGAAGTAAAGAAAAGATTTTTGTACCCTTCGATCATATAAAATTGTCGTATAGTGAGATAAAGTTATTTTTTTATAACAAAAGAAAAAATCATGTTTTTTTACTATTTATTAAGTAAATGTAGTTTTATACAGACACCTCTCTTTATCTTTATATACTCACCTGATGAGAGAAAAATGACAATAAATTTCTCCTTGTTTTCTGTTTAGATAATATCATTGTTTTTAGTTATGACAATAACAATGGGTTTTTATGATATAATAATTTAGACAAGTATTGACTCTTGTTCTTTTATCTTTATTAGTTTTGTTCGTATTTATCACTTAAAAAAATCGACTATTACTGATTAAATATATAACTTTGATATTCACAATGATTCACCTTCAATATTTGCGAATAATGAAGCATGCATATGATTACCTTCAATATTATATTATAATAAAGACGATGTGTATTCATTCGAAATTGAATGACATACCTAACAATTACTTCACGATTTTTTTTATTAGTTCTGAAGTGATCGTATATACATATATATTTGAAAAGACAAAAAAAACCAACACGTTTTATATATCACTGCTGTGCTTTAAGGAGAATATTTGCAATATCATTATTTAATGTCATCGCTTTTTCTATAGGTGTCTGCCCATCGATGTCTTTTAGAGTTAAATTAGCTTTATATTTAAGTAAATGATGAATAGCATCGGTATTATTAAAAACAATAGCACGATGAAGTGGTGTTGATTGTGAAGCTCGAGTTTGACAATTTGGATCAGCACCATGTTCAAGTAAGAGTTGACAAGCATGTGCAGGTTGAAAACGAACAGAATAATGAAGTGGTGTATAACCACTTGAATCGCATTGATTGATATTTTTAGCAGTTGATGAATTTAAACGTTCGCGTAGTTCATCGATATCATTCTGTTGTGCAGATGACCAAAGACCGCGACGAAAAGCAAGTTCATCTAGTGTTTCATATACATCTTTATTGATATTAGATGATAGATGACACTGACAATTATGTGATGAATGTTCATCCATTTTCTTAAAAGAAATGCAAGTATTTATTTATCTGACAAATATTGTCAATGAATTTCCTTATTTTGGAAACCAACTCTACACACACACACACACACACAAATTATCTAACAAAAGTCGAAAACAAGAAAACAATTGTAATAATTATTTAACAAAAAACAATATCTGACAATATGGCATATTAACAAAAAAATGCTTAGCGCAAATAAATTAAGAGAAATGATAAATTAAGACTACTAACAAAAACAAAAAGAAAAAACAAAAGAAAAGAAACAAAAAATTTTTATCGCATTCTATTGAGTCCATTTAATTTTGAATCTGGATTACGTATACATTTAGCTTTAGCAAATACATTCCAAAATCGAAGAGTTTCATCACCAGCACCTGTTACAATTGATTCACCATCTGGACTCATAGCTAAATAAAGAACACGTTGTTGATGACCAAATAATTTTGCTAATGGTTGCATTGTTGGATATTTCCAAACAACAATTTGATTTTGTGAATAACCATGTGTTGATGCAAGTTCATTTGGTGAATTTTTTGACCATACTAATTGACATACTTGAGAACCTGTATCACATACACTTAATGTTTGACATGTTAATGATGAACGAAAACGTATATGTCGATCAGCTGTACCACCACCTGATGCCATTAAACCATGTTGATGTGGTGACCATGCTATAGCTTTAACAGCAGCTAAATGATCATCAAATGAATGTAATGGTTGTGTTGGTTGACTTTTTGACCATAAGAAAAGACGATTATCATTTCCACCACTAGCTAATATTGATTTATCAGGTGACCATTTAAGACCACATACTTCTTGTGTATGACCACGAAATATATGTGCAGCTGATTGTGCACGAATTTCATGTTCAATTATTGATCGATCACGTGAACCAGAACATAATGTCCAATCATTCCAAGCTAATGTACCAACACGACTTGTATGTTTACATATTGATTGTAAACGTTTTTGTGTTGTTACATCATAAATATGAACATGACCTTTATTTGTACCTAGAATTTCAAAAATTAAATTTATTGAAAAATTCCTTATTATGATCTATATTAATGATTCTTACCAACAGCTAATATATTTGACCAATCAGCCCATGCAACAGATGTAACTGAATCTGATCCTATAATATTCGATTGATTACTACTTCCTGATGGTAATTGTGTATGAGTAAGATCACATAACAATTGAACATTATTTGTTTGAGCATTACATAAATAAACACAAGCACCTAAACCAACACTAAGAACATTGGATGATGACCAATCAATTAAATTTAAATAGAAATCATCATGTAAATCTGGTGCATCTAATACTTTAAATGGAACTTTTGGAATACGACGTATAGTTTTCTTTGGTGAATAAAGTAAATGTACAGATGCATTTGACATAGGTGATCGTGTAAAATGATGTTTATTAATAAATGTTGATGTTGGAAGACAATTTTCAGCACGTTCAGAATAATGAAATATGGGTGTTGATGATGATGATACGGAAGAATTTTCTTTATTAATTAAACATTTTTTTGGTGTTACTATTTTAGCATTTTCTTGATTAGTATTTTGTACATCAGATATTTTTAAAATTGAATCAACATTTGTATTCAATAATGTATTTTGTAATAATTGTCTATATATAGCTAAATCTGGTTCATTTGCTGTTATACCTGAGCCAAGACCAATTTGATTTTGTTCATATTTACGTTTTTTATTCGGTGATGTTGTTGTGTTTGATGGTGATGCTGATGATGATGGACATTGTTGATTAGGTGATACAGATGTTTGAGTATTTAATTGATAATGTAAATTTGAAATTGACAATGAAGATCGAAATGGAATGTATCGATCACTTGTTTTAACAGGTGATTGAAGTGGACTTTTAAATGGTGATAAAGATTGTAATGAACTTTGACCACTCATTGAAAAAAGAAGACGGCGCTCGAATTGAGCATCCATTTAAGCTTTTAATTTAATTGAATTAAAAAAGAACGGAAAAAAATGTAATAAATAGAAAAAAAAATTGACTAGACTACAGATCTAAAAGAGTGAAAAATTTCGTTGTTGTTCAATGTTCAACAACGAATACCGTATTGAACGGTGATCTATGAGATGGGAATGTTTAGCCGTTATGTGGTCTTTGTTTCATGTAACAATGACTATTGTTAACGAAGAAAGGACTAGAGGTCAACCAATAGGAAAATATATATGAACCCTCAATTTAAAAAACAAATTAATTTTAATAAAAGGTTAATAAAAATAGAACATTTAAATTAAAGATTTTGAGAAATAATAATTTTAAAAAGTGATAATAGATGGCGCTGTATTAAAGATATTGTTTAATTTCGCATGTGTTTGAATAAATCTTTTTTTTAATTCTATTCAAATTTTCAAGGAAGAAAAAAAACGTGAATAGCTATGCGGTTAATTCTATTTATAGACATCGAATATATCATATGTTTTTTGAGTATTATGATGTTTTTTATCTTTTTTATCGCACACTAAACGTCAAACGAGATATTTATTGCATGTTTATCAAGTACTTCAGATTTTTTATAACAAAATTGTATTAAATAACCTTTTTTTTAATTCTTTTACTTAATATTAATAGAACGTTTTGTAATACTTATTATATTAGCTTGGCGGTTTTACAATATATAGAAGAAGATAATAAAGACTTTATATGTTCTACAGATTCACCTATTTGTGTATATTTATTTTCACAAAAATCAATATTCGATCTTTTCTTTTATGAATGTATCAGTAATTTTTTGTCTTCATTTTCAGCGAATAGTTACTTGTTCTACTCTTATTCTTAAATAACTAAGTTAACTAAGAAGTTAAAGTTTAATAAATATCATCGTAAGGAATAGTTTATTTTTTCTATAGATAGTACCATTGAGTTAAGATTCAAAAACTTTATATAATTCAATATGTATATTTTTATCAAAACTATTATATTACATTGTATATTAAAATATAAAACTACAACATGTTTTTCGTATTTGAAAAAAAAATTGATCAGATTTTGAAATACATAGAGATGTGTATACAAATTAAATCTTGAATTTTTATAAATATCGTTTAGATCATCATATTTGGCTAGCGCTTAATTTTGGAGCAAAGAAGAAACGATTATTACATGGTAAAAAGGAATCTTTTGATGAAGAAGATAAATATTTTCTTAAATTAACTACTCAAGCATTAAAACAAACACGTTTAAATAGTATTCTATGTAATATTATTGGGGAATATCAAATCGATTCTACAACATGGCAAAGTTACTCATATGAATACAGTAGTGAAATTGATTATGAATTAAGATTATCCTATTATTGCTCTTGTTTTAAACTGAAACATGTCAGATTGATTTTTTAAAGAATAAGAACAATTTAACTTTTGCATTCGAAATATACAATCACAATATTTAATTAGCCTTCTCGCTGACAATATCAATCAACTAGCTGTTGTCGATCTCTACTTGATTATTATACAGAAGAATATAAAACAACTTTTTGATCAAACATTGTTAAATTCTTATTATGTATATAAAATCTATTCAAAGTCAACGTTAGTATGAACTGTCTGCCGTTCATCATAAGGCAATGAACAATCAATTAAAACAAGAAACTGAAAAACAATTATCTCATGATTTTAATGAAGACGTCGCTAATTGTATCATGGAAGAATGTTTCAATCGATCATATGGAGGAATTAATGATTAACTAATTATATGTATTTTAATTAATAATAATCTATATATTAGATACGCTCTATGAGCGAGATGTTTATTTTGCAGTCAATGCTATATTTAGTAATATTTATTCTTCTCTTCATTAGACTGGTGAATATCGCATGTTTGTTGTGTCAGTACTCGTAAGAACATCTATTTATAAAGATCAAATAACGAAAGTACCTCGAAAAGGTTATAATTCAGTCATGAATAATAATCAGTAAAAACTATTCAAAAAAAATTTTGGACAATATGATATAACAGTAGATTTTACATATATTAGAGTGCCATTAAAATAGTCATCGAACTTTTCTTACAATTCTTATTATAATTAAAAACTCATATAAATAGTGAAGTATTTTGAATATAATCTATTGCTTGGAGACGCTAGAGTAAGAATGATAGATAAAACTATAACGTAGCAAGATCAGATGATAAAAACAGATCTTCCCGATGGCATTATCAAAGGTCATGCCTGACAAATATTATGTCTATATTAACATCGTCAATCTCCTAATGACATACGTTGTGTACGCTAAGAATCATATGTCTTCTCTTTGCCAGGTTATTATCTTCTAATGTACTTCAGTAATAAAAAGATCATTTATAACTAATCAGAATATATGAATCAGATCAACTAAAAATATACAACATAACATATGGTTTTATCTTCAAAATAATTATCTAATTTATCATGAATATCTTTTCATTAACAGTCTAATTCACTTTACGATAAATCTCGTATAATGTATCATTTATTTCAGCCTCAGTTTTAATACCTTGTCAACATGATTTTTTTCTGACTGTTGAGCTTGAATGGTATTTTAAATCATCAATGGCTAATATTTAAATATGTGAACTTATTTCTATCCACAATCGTATTCATTTTAGTATAAAACTCGTACAGAATATTATTTAGTTCAGCCTCAGTTTGATACCTTGTCAACATGGTTTGTTTCTGACTGTTGAGCTTGAATGGTATTTTAAATCATCAATGGCTAATTTCGGATAACATTTAAATATGTTAACTTATTTTCAGTGACAATAATTTACTTTAGTATAAATCTTATATGTGTTGTTTATTTCAGCCTCAGTTTCAATACCTTGTCAACATGATTTTTTTCATGACTGTTGAGCTTGAATGG